GTAAGCTGAAATCAGTTGAAACTTTGTATGAAATAAAATGGATATTCGATAGAAAATATGATCTAAAGTATATCAAAATTTATCTCTCTTTTTTTCATTTTTTAAACTACGGTGCTGTCAATTTTTAAATTAATACTCAGTCAGAGTAACTCGAGTTACTTTGAATAGAAGGTAGGTATAAAAAATATCTAGACCAGAAAACTCGATAATTTGATTCGCTTCTCATTAAAATTGACAGGAAAAATCAGGATCATGTAAAACAAAAAGCAATCTCGTATAATAATGATGACTCGATTTTTTTAATGCAAAAATGGAAACTAATATTTGTTGAGTTTTTAAAGAAACTTTTGCTGAGATTTTTTTTATTGACAATTTCTCGACGTTGATTTAATTCAATGTATGTTCTTACATAAATCAGATCCTGGAGAAATTACTAATTCCATAACTAACTAATCTACAAGTTATTGAGGTCAGCGGCCCCAACTGTCAACGATACAACTGAAGAATAATTTTTCATTATAAAAGGACATTTTTATTTACGATTTTCCTGGTGCCGCTGTAGCTCTTGAGTTTGCAAATAAATTTCCGCTACATTGAGTATCAGGAGCATTGCGACGCTTTTGTTGCTCTGAGCAGTCTTCATTGTTCCCATTGAAAATATGGAAAACCGAAGTACGTTCTTCTCAAGTTTATTTGTCACAACAAATGAAATATTGCTGGAGAATATTTTTTTTATTTCTCCAAGCTAAGCTGATAAAAAAAATAATGAAGCGATGCGAAATGAAATGAAATGAAATAAAGTATAAAAATAAAATAGAATAAAAAAGTTTAAAGTAAAAAGTAAAAATGTAACTTAAACATTGCTAAAAAGCCTGACGGGTGACTAATCTGATGGCTCTATGTCGTTTTCACTAGATCGCGTGAAACACGCGAGATTTGTCTCGTTGATTGTATATCCACCGTTGTTTATGAATCTCTACCGATAAAATATATCCTATCGAAAATATAAAAACCATGACCTGCTCTTTGTTCCATTTTTCGATAGCGAATAAATTTAAATCCTCGGTAAGCCAAAAAATAAATCAGAACGCAGTCATCAGCAAATATATAATTAAAGTCACAATAATAACATTTCAAATGCGATGAAAAAAATAAATAACTAAAACCACACCCACGTCAGCAATTACCGGGTTGTAATTCCGGGCAAAATTGTATAGTGGATGGACTAGACCAATAACTTGACTTTGAAATTAGTGGATTAAGAAAGGTTTGGTGAATATACTCCAACAACTCCTCCTCGAGGTGGTACGATTAAGTTGGATGGTATATACCCAAGTAAAGTGTAGTAAATGGTTTTTGGGGTGTCTCGAGTTAATAAAGACGCGTGCTACCGAGACGCGTGTTCCCTCAGGCGTATAGTTCTCCTCTGTTCTATATTCTGTACACCTATACTCCATTTCTAGGGCATGTTTGGAGGTAGTTCAGTCCCTAGTGAAGCTAACCAACACAACAACCATCAGACATCCGAATCCTTGCTTCGTCTATTATTAAACGCAAGACGTTGACTTGGAAACTTGGATCTTTTGTTTTTGCTTCCATTTGCATTTCACTGTCTCGTCTGTTGTTGAATCGAATACTAAAATATTTTTAAACTTTACAATGAATCCGTCAGAAAAATATGAATATCTCTGGGAAATATAATTGTGTTTGAAGAAGAGATCGGAACAAAAAATATAATTGATTTTTTGTTGTTGTTCGAACGAAAAGGAAAAATGGAAAAATTGGGTCGAGGCTTTTATATGGTGGTACAAAAAGAATTTTGGTCTGGGTTGGTGCTGGTAGATCGCAGACTGAGTTATCGATAATTGTATTCTCAACTGGATTAAGGGATGAAAGGGACTTGAATCTAGCTGACAAATGGACCCATCAGCATCAGGTATATGTCCCGCACTCACGCTCACGCTCATATTCAGTAGGGGATAGGATTAAAACAGTAGCTCAACTCAAGCCTACACTCAACTCGCGGACGTTTTGTTTTCACCATCCACCATCACATTTATAAATTGCTCATGGATGTGAGAATAACTCGGTTGGTCATACGTATCTATATCTATATAAACATATAATGTCGCAGAATGGACAAACTTTTGTTGGGGGGTTGAGAACTCGGCAATAGAACTGAGCTCGGTAGTCTCAATCGTAAACTTTCTGGTATAATACTCACTCGATCAAAACCGCGCCAAAGGGATAAAGAATTAATATAACTAACTTTGTTACGATATTGATACTTGACTTTGGCTACTGAGAAACTTGGCTCAAACTATTACAAGTTGGTCTTACAGTTAAAGTTGTTCTCTCCTTCGCGACCGAGTCTCAAAAAGTCTAACTCAAACGTTTAATTTTTTATTTTTATGCCCAGAAATGTGACTCCCGACAGAAATTCTCTCAAAAATATAAATATAATGTAATTTAAATATTGATGGCTTTGAGGGAGCTTAGGCTCCAGAGCCAAATAAAATTTTTTATCTATCTATCTATCTATCTGGTGAAACTTACCGCAAGACTATCTTGTTTCTGCTCCACACACTTTGAGAGCTTTCGCGAACACGGAGAGACTCAAATAAAAAAAAAAAATGAAATATAAATAAATAATAAAAAGAAAAGGAAACGGGAATTTTTTTTCGTTAGAGGCAAAACCCGTCAGAGGGTGGAAATTTACGGATGTTCTTCCGGCTCTATTTCGGCCTTACGTGTTCTCCATGTCCAACTGTTACTCTCATCTTTAATTCCGACATGAAACCCACATAATTCGACCGCAATAAATAATTATTGGATTTGAAATACAGTTAATCATACGGATTTATTTATTTTATTAAAAGGATCTGATTTTATTTAAATAAAAGTATATTTATTCTGGATATTGATTTAAAAATAAGGATGGAAAATGAGAGTCACTGGTTTCAAGTAGTATAACTACCTTTTGAAACGATCTCTGGCTTCCACAAGTCACGCAGATAGTCTTTACAGCCAGCGAGCAAAATTACTTTCGACGAATTATTTTCTTATCTTTTTTCTTTTTCGTTATTTAAATTGCTTTTTTATTCTTTTTTTCTTTATTATTGTTATTATAAATTATAATTACAAGTATAATAATTAACATTATTATCAAGAGATGGATATATAAACTTATCCGTACAGTTTAATCACTTCTGCATGAAGAGAGAAGTAAAATCAAACAGAGAAAACTAAAGGAAATGTTCATCAAACTTTGACTAGTCTCCAGGGTCTAGACACCTTAATCTAGAAATTAAACTGCGCTACTCAACTTTAAATTTATCATCGACCTTTCGAGCACTACTATTAATAAATTTTCAATAGTTATTAATTAAATTCCGATAGAATTAAAAAAACTAGGCTAGTGTGTTTCGTTAGTGAGTTATTATTGAGTGAATTAATTATCAAAGACATTTAGTGCCCGGAGCAGCCAGGGTACTATCAGTAGCCGATATATTGACTTGCACTTTAATCGTTGGAAAACGCAATTCAATAATGCATATACGGAGTTACTGTACAAAGGCATATAAGGAACCGCACGGACTAGATGATATGTTCTTTGGTTATCGATTTCCTCCACTTCTACTGTAACCAATATGTTGTTGTGTGTAAATTTTATTGACGTAAAGTGAACCTTCATGTGGTATGAACGTTTTTTTTCATTTTTATTTATACCATATTAAATTTTAGTACAAGCTTCGCTCAAATGTAATAAAATATCCATTTACCAGTTAATATTGGCAAAGCAATTACGTTGTTACATCATACATGAATAACCCGGGTTGTAGAGGTTTTATATCTCACTTTTTGAATCATAGAAACGGCTAGGTAGAAGATTTATGTCACAATGATATTATCAAATGGAAAATATTCAGTTATTTCAAGAGTTTCTGACCAAAATATTATGGTTTGTAGAATAATTTATATTGAAGTTATATTGAGTGTGAATTTAACTTTACAAACAATAAAATTGTTCAAACGAAAAATCAAAGAAGGAATTTAGTTGAAAGAAACATTAAAAAGTAAAGCACAAAAAATAAGAACAGCATGACAATCTGTTGATCTTGGTTACTTTAGTCATTTTCTCAATTTAACTTTTTTAAATTCTTGGGGTGTTTTTTTATCAGGCGATTTCTTTCTTTCCGGAGGATTAGAATGGGGCTAGAGCGGCATTCAAGCAGACTTAATCCTCAAAGAGTTTTCTGGACAAGAGACTTTATAAAGAGACAACTTTAATCGCTTGTGTGGACTGCAGAGAATAGTAACAGTAGCAGTAATAGTAATAGTACATAATAACTGAACGTAGTAGTAAAGTTGACAATAATGACAAGCAGACAAGAGAGACTGATGCGCTTATACACTGTGTAATTTAGTAGCGAACAATGTCCAGCGTGTTTTGTCGACACGTTACTCCTTTCTTTGCACAGCAAACAAACGCTCCAATAAATTGCATAAATTGCACGTGTTGTATTTCTTTTGAAATAAATTGCATCCCGAAACAATATGAACGAACATAATCACACATACGTTCTTGCTGGTAATTATTGACGCGATTCTCCAGCTTTAGCTCTAACTCGAGAGTACACAGTCGATGTATCAATAGAATGTTATGAGGATAGAATATACACACACATATAGACATCTGTATCTACAGATACATCTATCTATGTATAAATCCACGTGTATATTCAGTAATAGTTAATTTGCTTGCGGTATACCGCCGGTTTTCGATATTCTGATTAGCTATGCAAGACCAATTCCAGTCGCCAATAATCTAGCTACCGTGAATTGATTTTGATTGATTGAACGATTATTTCACTGTAATTTATTCTATAACTAATAATTGGTTTATTATTTATTCATTCGTTTATTTATATAATTGTTTTTTTTTTTTTTTTTAATTACAGGTGCTCTTTCTGGAGCTAGTTACCGATGAGTAAGTGGACATGAAGCGGCCGTCCAAATGGTCGCCGTTACGGATTCTAATTTTCATTTTTCTCAAATGTGGTAAGACTCTACTTGTTTATTACAAAATTCTTCTCCATCTTTTTTATTATTATAAACTCACGGTTTAAATGAAAAATAGGTGTAATTTGCTAGAAGCACGTTTACACTTTTATGGATAGTAAAAATAGTCTTTAGTCTCTAGGCTAGATGAAAATCTAATATCATGACACAAGAAAAATTATACGCTATCTCCACGACAATTGAGTAAATTTTTTCCTCACTTTAAATGGATCCCGTATTTCACTGTGTTACATTAAAATTGCATGTTTGTAACAGAAATAATAAATGTATTAATAAAAATCATTCTTAACTGGAGCGGATTTATACAATTGTATACTTTTGACAACGAACGAAATTTAATAAAGCTCATAATCGTTAGCCTGTGATGTTTGTACACAAATTTACTCGGTGAATTTAGTTTGTCAGAAAGGAATAAAAATTTTCTCGGTAATCAGAAATAAACGAATTACCAAGTCCTCATCCCCTTTCACCGAGTGACTTCACCAGTTGAGTTTTAAACTTTATTTTTTAATGTTTATATTGTTATATATGTATAAATATAGTGGCGAGCAGTGGGAATGCATGCAACAAAGGAAACAAAGCAAAAAGTTTTAACGACTTTAAGGAACGCGAGTAACTTCTGTTCGTTCTTCTCTTTTGGTTGTAAAATCTCTTTAGAACTATGGATAAGATGAAAAGAAAATATATACAGATATAGGATTGTATTTATGAAAAAGGTTAAAATTGTTGGAGAAAGCTTGAGAAAAGTATTGCTGTGAAGTTAAGTTCAGGAGCAGTAGCAGCAGGTGTGAATTGACTTCCGCTTTCTTACTGTTTTAACATTCTACAATAACACTTGACCTCCTTTGTTGCAATTTATAATACATTTGGTAAGATAAGGATGAAAAATATGGTTTGAATTTGGAATTTATCTCCCTGGGAGAATAAATAAGCGGTTGATTGTTGACCTCACCGAGGGCTTAGCCGCCTTAAAAGTTGACTATTCTTGTGTGATGGAAGATGATGAGAATAAGTAAAGAGAGCATAGATAGAAAAAAGGGAGCGCTGAGATGATACTTCAACGCTCAAAATAAGAGGAAAAAAATAGAAGCGGTTGAGTAGAACAGCCTATTGTGTTTTATACTTTCAGAGTGTACTTAAAAGATACAACTCTTGGGAATTCCGCAAGCTTAAAGCGACTCTCGCGTTTTTTTTAATAATTCTTCGTTAAGTGCCAAACTGTAACTGTATTGTAAAAGTAGAACAAAGTACATACGGGAATGTAGACGTTAAAAATCACAGTTAACATTTTTTTAGTTGTTTTATCGCCCTTTAGATACATTGAAACTATTTTTTTATTTCGCTCTTTCGAGTTTACGGATTCGCAGTGATTTTTTTTGGTCTGGTATCGAGTTCGAAACAATATTGGTATCGGTAAAATTGAAAATACACAATACTTATTTCTTATTTCAATTCCATATTTCAAATATTTATGTTAATTTTATTTCTATGCAAATAGGTGTGCTAAAAAATTTAATATTTACTTTTAATGATAAAAAAGATTAGTTTTAGCACTACATATTTCTGCCATCGCGATATGGAGAAAAAAAAATAAAATAATTTCCCAACGCCTCTCTCGTATGCTGCGTAATCTCCCGCGAGACGACAATTCCACCGGAAATGTATGTGATTTATAAATGTGTATCATATATTTCAAAGAAGAAGAAATATTATATGTTTGATAGTCTCAAAAATATGTAACTTTAAATTTAAGAATAAAAAATCGATAGCAGTTATTTGATAATAAAGCTATTACCTTTAGTATCTATTGGAACCTAGCAATAATGTAAGTAGTAGCAAGAAAGTAAATACCGAACTAAAGATTTTCGAGTCAGCCTAGAGTTCAAGAGGACAAGTTTTCCGAGGCTTGAGCAAAAGGAAAAGGTTCAGGTACCGGAAACTGGTGGAGTTTGTACTCGAGTGGATCCTTGATCGAGTGAAAAAGTATTCCAACTGATGCCAAGCTGTACAGACAAGATGAGAAGAGAAAATGTGTGGTGACTAGCGTAGAACCTGAGATGAGACGAATAAACGAATGTCGTAAGGAAGAGTGTTGTCGTAAAATTGTATACCCCGAGGCAACCTCCGAATGATCGATGTCTCGGTTTAAACCTTTCCTACTATACCTTTCTTCTTCTTCTTCTTCTTCTTCTTTTTCTTATTCTATTTATATCCTTCCATTCCTAGCCTATCTGTTCGACGTCCAGGTCTGAAATATTTTTCCATTCACCAGCTACCGTATTCGAAATTGTCGTAGTAAAAATATGCACTTGCATTCGAATATACAGTATGTATAAAATGTATAAAAGGTTGTCGAGCGTCACGTTCACACGTGTCGGGTACGTGCATATCATATACTCAGTCACGCGATAAAAAATCCAACTATTTTATCATGAATGCATAATAAACTCATCATCATTATCATAGTAGGAAGTTTAATAAAATCAAGTTGCATAATATCATATTATAACTTATAAGTCTTGTGTATAAAATAACATTTCATGGTTCGACACTGTCAATTGTTATTTTGTTGTGGCATGTGTCATACACACGTTCGGTATCTTCGGTGAAGGAGTCTCAAGCGTCACTCATATCAACCAAGTACACTCCTCTTCATCCCTCTAACTATTCATGCATAATAAACATGCATATCCATCATTTAAATTACATATTATGGTGTTCAATATCATCACTTGTACTAAAGCGCGTTTAATACTCTCGTGTGGCCTTTTATTTTCATCGGTAAAGATAGAGACAGAGAAAGAGAAAGAGGAAGAGGAAGAGACCGACAACCTGACATAGACATATACTAACATCCCCACAAGTCAACAATTAATTCTACTGATGAGATATCCGTTGGATGCGAACAGAGAGAGAGAGAGAACTAAACTAGCTCTCGAGTGCATTCAAATGAGCATTATACACAGACTATGCTTCTATCAGCTTTAACTTTAGATGTTTGTCAATTGTCATATTTATTAATTGCCATGCACCTGATATCACCACTCAGTACGGTGATACGCTGAAGGAATTTGTTATTTGTAAATTAATTATCGAGTGGAGTTAAATTGCTAATTGGATTTATCGAAGGAGTGTAAATGTCAGAGGTGCTGGAATTTATTTTAAAAACTTTTAGTTAGTCAACGGTGTGGATTTCTTCACTCTCAATTTAAGTGTCTATTCTGTTTTCTGGTGTTATATTATACGCGACGTGACTTTTAAAGGTTTCGGTTATTAGTAAGCTAAGACCGGGATTAAAAATGGCTTCCTTCGCAATGTTGACTTTTGTTTTATTCATTAAAGATCCGTCGATGATTACTAACTGACATTCGATTCTATTTAATTTCATTCCTCGGCTGTATTGATTGTACCTATATTATTTATTTAATACCGCAAAGGGTAATGACTAGTCAAACACTATCAGATACAGATATAGAGGCCTGATGATATTATTGAATGCATTACTCGGATGACCGCAATATCTTCTTGAGTCCTCTGGTCTAGTGATCTGAGTTGAGAGATAACGAGCTTATTTGCAGGATTATCGGATCATTGATCATTGATTTTGGTGTAAGCTCGACCGCGAGATCAATATCACCTCTTGGCTTATAGCTCGGTATCGTTTACTGCCACAGAAGCCCACAGATTATCAATATATCACCCTGTATCCTTTTAAACAATTCATTTCATTAATTCGAGTACACATCTCTATTCGTAAACCCTCCAGAGATATTATTTGTTCCATCCGATACGTAATTTTCTCCTTTTTATTAAATTATCCAGAGAAAAAACACCAGAGTCACGCAACATCTCACATCAATCCGTCATATTTCATTATAAATTTCCCACACACATATTTGTTGCTTCGCTCCGTTCAATGTTTTTTTTTTTTTTTCAACCCCCAATGGAATCGATTACTCACGTAACTTGATTTTCAAATCCGACATATCACTCAATATATTCCAACTTTTACGCATGAAAAAACGCTGTTATAGATACGATATTTTTTTTTTTTAATATTTTTATTATTATTTATGAAACAAAGCTTAAAAAGATGTTCATTAAAAAAAAATTTTCAAAATTAAGATTTTTTATTTGATCCCCCATGTCTCGTTTTATTTACGAGCCAATGTTACATTTTACGACACCTCGTTTCGTCCGAAAGACCTTTTCTCTTCAGTAGCAGACTCGTCCATACATATACGAGCGTGTTATACTACTCTGGAGACTACCGAGGAGCCTGAGACATTTTCTCCAGCAATTTGCACCTCGCCCTCGGTATAACATGATAAAGATAGAGATGAGGAATACATACAGACAGAGGTGGATTCAGAAGCTCTCAAACTCAGAGTTATTGTATGGTGTAGTACAGCATCACTACCACTACGACCACAGCCTCAGATGTTCTCTTATTTTACTCTTAAAGCTTAGATCAATTGAAGTTCCACGAGCTTACGAGAATACCAGCTCAGATAGTAGAAATACCGTACCAGAGTTACTGTATCTTTCAAAGCAATACCCCGGGGGTAAACGTCTTGACCGTTGTATCAAGCTGCTCAGGAAATACGATCGATACTCTAGTTTGTTGTGGTTTGTTTGTTTCTTCACTATCACCATAACAGACAAAGTAAAGCCTGTTTCTAGTTCAGTTCTTTCCCCAAAGCAATCACAAGACTGTCATTGTCAATCAATTCGTACGGACACATGTTGATAAATTTACCTCTCTGCTGATAGAAGGATTTTTTTTCAATGTTCAATAAATATTTATCAACAATATCAATTAATAAATTCCTCCAGAATCAGAGTGTTTATATATTGTGCAAACATCAAGGTATATTAATATGTAGATGCATTGTTTAAGTAATTGATTAATCGTTAGAGGTGAGCAAAGAGATTGGATTCCTATTGGGATTCCGAGAGCATTGGTGATGTCTCAACATTGGAGTATTACCATTTGGGCCATGTCATGTTACGTTGAATGATCATTGTTCTGGTACTCCTCAGGACTCAGCTTACCGTGTTCCAACGTAGCACTTGCCTGGCATAGTGGCATATCCTCATGATAGATAGCATAGTAGTGCTTTGACAGCCTATAGCTGGCTCCCAGTGACCTTTACATGCGAACACTACTCATTTATATTGCTACACCTACACAGCGAGGTGTTTGGTGTGCGTTGACTACCTTGCTTGAGTTGAGCTGCTTCCAACTCAGTTTATGGCGTAATCGCACTTACTCTCGCCATCATACAACCATCACCCATCACCCGTCTATTCTCCTCGACACTCTATACCTGTATATACGCATCCAGGAATGAACATTTATCGCGTTTGCCCGGGTGACACGTTCATCGATTGGTCAAACATGCAATTATCTTCCGTTTGCTCTTTTTTATTGCTCAACATTATATATACTGTACTATTTTTGTTTTTATTAAACGTTTTTTGGCTGTGAAGCAAGCGTGGGTACTTTGATGGTTAAATGAAATCGTTGAAGATTGCTTACCTTTCCGGATTATCTACAGAGCCAGCAAACTCGAGAGCTCCCAGAGAGAAAATTTAAGTTTAATGGAGATTACCGAGTTGTAATTTATAGCGAATTTTTTTTCCATTTATTTTTGTCCGGTCTATCGAGGTCAAAATTGATAGCTTTGTAATTTTGTTTTGCAAGCTGCCGGTAATTCTTATACACCCGTGGAGTAACATGCTGATGATGCAGTGGTACAACCAGGAATTCGCTTATTTTATCGTTTTGTTTTCGAGCACACCCACTAGTTGCTTTTTTCATACTCGCCAATTTAAACTCTATTTATCGAGGTATATTGGAATTTTTTTACGCGGTAAACTGCCTTTCTATCGAACACCACAGCTGTTGATTTTTTAATTTAAATTATTTAAAAACAGTAATTTTATTTAAAAATAAATTGAAATTTTCAGGCACAATGGAACCAATATTGGCGATGGAAGACACCTTTTTTTCTCGACTAGTTGTCGCGGCGTCTCACACAGCCCTGTCAGGAGATCTAGCAGTCCTAATTATAAATTTATCAGCTTTGGACCACATGAAAACCACGACGAGCACCACAACTCAAATACCGGAAATTTCAACGGTTGGGAAGACAACTGCGCGAACAAGGACGAAATTTACTACGACAACGACTACAGAGGAGGCTGATATTGTTATGGAACAAGAAGAGGAAGACGATAATGATGATTATGATTCTTGGCAACCGCAACCCGAATATGATCCTTTTGTTTTACGGTAATTCAATTTAATTATAATTACAAACTTAATTAATATTCTATTCAAACTTCTCTGTTATTATTTACAATAACAATATTTAGCGATGATATTATTTCGGTATTATTGTACATAAAGTAAACATTTAACATAAACACATATATCGAAAGATAATAATCATTTTTAGTACAGTTGATTGATTTTTCAATTAAAAACATTAATTAAACAAATTATTTAATTACTGCAGTGTTATGCGCTTGGACGGATTTTCATCAGAATTAATTGGCGAAGTACCGATCGAGACTTCTACATCAGTTGCTAATATTACACTTTCAATTCCGTGTGGGTTTTTTTCAAGGGGTGGTGCATACTCGTTGCAATTACAGCGTAAATCAGTTCCGGCTAGCGACAAATTTATGGATACTAGTGGCGTCCAGGTACTTTTTTTCACTTACACCTGTTGTATATTTTTCTATAAATCATTGACAATTTTAATTTTTTATTAAAGATGAGAACAACATTGGACGTGAGATGGCCAACACCCTCGCTAACTTTAGAGCCCCAGCATTTTAATACCTATCCAGATCAGCCAGTTCTCGCGACACTCGAGTACACAGGAATATCATGTGCACCCGCAAAAGGAATTCCCGAAGACACGTATTCGCTTCAACTTGTCTACTGCGGTGCTAGCGTACTGTCATGCGATCCGCGAAATAAAACCAACATTCAGGTATAATATAATTATAATTATAATATTGCTTTACTCAATGAAAACTTGAACAAATATTCCAAGTTAAATTCAACTCTCTGAAAATTACTTAGATTCATGTGAAATAATATATTACGTAAATTAATTGAATATTTATATTCTAATCCAGCTTACTTAACGAACTGACCAACGAAAATTACCAGACTGAAATTAAGAATTCGAAGGAAACTTTTTGTATACAAAATTGAGCTACAGATATGAAAAATAAGATAAATTTAGACAGACAGTGTGATTATAAAACATAAATGAAATACAAATGATTGTGAATTTATTTAACAGATGCTTTACTCTGAAGAAATAGCAGGATTTCCATCGCAAAAAATCCTGAAGCTCCGGTGCGAGTTTTTCGGGCTCGCTGGACACTACGCTTTGAGACTGAAACCGTCTGACGTTAATTCAACAGCACCAACTACCAGTGCATACATTAAAGTTTGTTTGTTAATTTTGTTTATCTTATTTGAAACTTTACCAATTCTCAGTACAATTTAAATTCCAATATATTTTATTTATATTGGTCTTATTCAGGAATACGTAGACATTTATCCAATTTAAATTGTTTACAGGTGGAAGTTTCGAATCAGTATGTATTCAATGTCCACGCTCGCTCAGTTTACCCGTGTGACGGAAACTCTGGAGGTCTGTCGGTCCTCTTCGAGTACCCGTCCTGCCGTCTCCAAGACGATCGAGTTCGCGTTTACGGACGTTTGAGAGCCGACGTCGCATCACTCGCGCCACCCTCAACTTTGCACTACGTTGCTGAATTAAAAGCACCGCCTGGGAAACATACTCTTACCTTTGACTGTGAAATATTTACCGAAAAATTCGTCGAGTATTGCTTCGTATACGTCAGTCAAGCTATCAACGGCGCAATGGCTGAAGTTAGAGTCGATTGCATTCCCACGTTTCCCATTCAAGGTAAATTGCTTCCAGTTTGCTACTCTCTTTACAGACTTTTTTAATTGCGAATCTTTTTCTTCCTCGCTTTTATATAAACTTATACTTTTTAGAAAAATAAAAGAATCCTTTAACAATTTATCGATTTATCCGCTCTGTAATATAAATTTAATCGTCGGATTAAAAAATAATTTTGTGAGTAAAATTGAAATCAATCTCGGGATTTCAAATTGATATTTGGAAATCAATCTTGTCTTAGAAAAAAAAAAAAGAATGACTTAAAATTCAGAAGCTACTGAATCTAATTTGAATTATCTCAGAAAAAAATTGACACAGATAATCAGAGTTTCCCTCTCTTTACTACTCATCAGTAGATTTCATTAAACGCGAAATACGAGAAGAAAGTAAAGTGAGAGATAAATACATATATAATAATACACAAGTCACTTCTTAACGTCACTTGGATAAATAATATCAAAAGAGTAAAGAAACAAACAAATTTAAGCATAAACCAAGAAAGAAAGAAAGGCCATGAAATAACAACCTATAGTCATTAAGATACAAGAGTACTCTATAAAAAATTCATTATTTTTGTCTCGAGGTTATTTCTTATTATAATACAGCTTTTACTTTTTATTAGTTATTTAGTTTAAAAGTTTAATCACAACTCGGCTCTCTATTGTACTAATACTATCATTATTATTATTTTTCACAGTACGTTCTTTAATATTGAGTTAATCCAAGTTTAACATACATCCCGTTGCGCCTTACAGACTATATACACTACTATATAGACTGAAGCAGTGAGTGAGATTGTGAAAATAACTTCCGATGCAACAGCGATTGCCTATCGAACTTTTCGCATTTATCTCGAGCCAAGATCGTTGACCTAAAATTTATCAGAGGACGCTGAGCTACTTCATCTTGATTTCGGTGTTCTGGAAGTCCATGTATAATATAATAGACTTCAGCCCTTAATGAGAGACTTAATTATAGCCCGAGAGCCAAGACCTTGGTATTATTTTCCTTGTCGATTAAATCTGACACCTTTCATTGAATAATGGTCTAAGGTCTCGCTGAATTTATATACTCTGTGTCTTCATTATCTCGGTGTAATTAATTATACACCACACAGTAATTTATTATTATTGTAGTAAATAAATTAAAATTATTTTGTTACAGTAATTATAATTGGTAAATAATGAGAATGAGCAATTATTATAATAATGATCCGAGAGGCGATGATAATGTCGGAAAATAAATAAAATATTACCGTTGATATCACACGGATGTAATAACGCGTTACCATTTATGATCGTGAATGCATTATATATCTATTCTGACAATTTAGACCCACAGGTTCCGAACAGCCGAGTATAGATGGAAATAATATTTCATCAGGTATGTCTACCACATACATTAATATATACATACGTAAACTACACCACAGACTATATATTGTGAGTTTATGTGCGAGGAATGATGATCGTAGAGCTGTGAGAGAACCACTCAAAGTTCTATAAATTTCGTTTTGCGGGAGTCGAATTTAAACGGCAAAATTTTACAGCGATATATCGCTGTACATCCGTTTTCACGACTGAAAATGTCGACTAAATATGTGCGCGTGATATCTAGGTACATTTATATTACATATTATCTAAAGAATAGACTGATTGTGAGTTTAAACTTGAGAAAGAGAGAGCAAAAATGATTTTATTATTTTACTCCATTTAGAAGTGACGCTTTCTAGGTATTTAAGCTCTGTCGGCTGCTCTTTCAGCCTCGGATTTGGCCAGTTAGACAAGTTAATTAATTTCCTGTAAAGGTACTTATGGAAGTTTAAATTGTAATACTTTGGCATTTGAAATAATTTTAATTGCCGAGAACATTGAATATTTAATTACCAATTTGTTATTTATATTGTTTTAGTTAAAAAAGTTCTTGATACACCTTTAATATGTATAATTTGTATTGATGGGTATAAAACGCGAAGGATAATTGACCGAGAAAAGTTTAGTAGTTAATAGTTACGCGTCAGTTCGATCACTTGTCCTGTTTTACTGGCATAACTACGTAAAATCCCACAGGCGAACGCTAATGGAATTATTTCAATTTGCATATAAACTGAGTATAGCGACGAGTTGAGCGAATTTCACTCCCTTCGCTCACCTAAACGACCGAGATGACATCCTAGATAAACTATTTTTTATTTTATTCCATTTTTTTTATTTACCTATCATCATCATGATATTTTTTTTTCTCCATAATCATTCCGCTGGAGGGTACAGCAAAACATTTTACTGAAATACATTCTGCGCTACTCTCGATGCTAAGTATTTTAAAACTTCTCGTAAAGTTACTAAAAGCTCATTTTTTATGTTATATAAAAAATTTACATGTTAAACTGCAGCAAAAATATTAAAATCGGTTTTTTCATTTGTGACAATAAATTCCAGTAGTGAATTTTTAATCACAATAAAAAAAATATATAATAATATATTAATCGAAAGACTTAGTGTACATTATGGACATAGAGATAAAGAAAAGACAGACGAAAAAAGTAACTTTAAGTATAAGAAGTGGAAAAAAAAGAAACTGGAGCTCGTATCGTGGCTCAGTGGCTTGAGAAAGCTCTATGCAGTATCTACTAACGCTTTAAGATCCTTTTTATAAAGCACGTTTCATTCACTGGAAAACGATCCCGCGAGTCCATTTCAACGTTCATCAAGCTAAAGGACGTACGGATCGACGAATGTATATATAAAGTCTCATTTTACGTTCTTAACATCGACCTACATTCATCCCGTCGATAGCTAGACCGAAAGAAGCTAAGACTGATATCCAAGAGTAGTGCATCACCGAGCTTTAATATGTTATATATGTATTTCTGTACCTGTTACTATTGGCCTGGCTGCTTATTATTGGAGATTACCGGTGCGAGTGGTTCGCCGAAGGGGAGGATTCGTGTGGATGCGCTGGTAATAACACGGAGTTTCAATCGTCATGAGATTATCCCTCAATTCTGTGAGTAAATCTCATTAGAAAGCAAAGTCCCTATCGAGTTCCAGCTCAGGATATTCGGTTATTCCCTTACCTTTGAGTTATATTAAGAGAAAAACTAACAATAATGATGATAATAATCATTAATTATCAAACTTTACGGCTTAAATCGCTTTTAGTTAATATTATATAATATAACCCCCGATTTACAATTTTCATTTTTTTTTTTTTTTTTATATTACAGACAGTGACGCTGGAGGATGGGGTGACTGGAGCCCCTGGGGGCCTTGCAGCAGTACGTGTGTTGGAGGTGTCCGGAATCGTTTCAGATTCTGCGACAAACCACCGCCGCGTTACGGGGCTAAATTCTGTCAAGGAAAAGCTGTCGAGTCCGAGGCTTGCGGTGGTGCTGGCGGGCTCAATCTTGAAAACACGTGGTCTGCTGCTGAGTGGGAGTGTAAACACGGGCAAGGACTCGCTGCTGAGAGACCAGAGGTTACTGCTGAGGTAGGCACCAAGTGCCGCTGCGGCTGTGTTGTCAATTTACGTAACGAAACTATCACCAGAAAAATTTTGGCTGCGAGCACCCAGGCTTGTCCCGGCCGATCCTTTTGGCTCATTCAAGTAATTTAAAAATTAAACATTTACCTCACTTCTGTATTAATTGAGAAAAAAAATGTATATTTTTATGTATGATGAATGTTTTCAGACTGAGCCCGGGTCAGTTGTCAAGCTTCACTTTGATCAAACTAAATTTCCGTGTTCCGGTCAGTATGTCAGAGCACGAGATGGGGATTCTTTGAGTGCTGAGCTATTGGCAGATGTCGCTATTGACAAAAATACACCGGAGTCGGGGACTGTTATGTCAACAGCCCAGAGCTTGCTGTTGGAATTTTTTAGCGATGAAATAACTGTCGCGAGAGCTTCATGCAGCGGAGGGTTTTTAGCGCACGTCTCAATATTCGGTAAGTTTGAACAATAATATTTTTATTTTTTATTTTTTAAGTTAAATTTTTTTGAAAAGTGTAATTAATATTTACAAAGTTGAACTTGAGATTATTATTTAATATAAAAACTCCGTATGTGGAGTCATAATGGGAGGGGAAATTTACTCCCGATATTTTCCAGCATAATATATTTAGAGCTTTAGGAAACAAAACTGTTACATAGAAAGTGTAAAGTAATTTGTACGGTTCTGTAAATTCGAATAGTGAAATAATTTTGGTGCATGAATGGCGCCTAGTATTACGATATTACTGCTAAAACATAACAATAATATTAAATCCTACTTAGTTTAAAATCCTTTATGAAAATGGTGTGATATTTAATACGATAATGGAATATTTACAACTTCTGTAGCAAAATCTCAACCAGAAAACGTAACAGAGGATACAACGGCTGTGCTCATTGGACCAAAAGTCATGGCAGCCGCGGGAAGATGGGCATTATGGTTCTCACCCGCCCACTTGGCAGCAGCATCACTCCTGCTTCTCATGTTTCTAGTTTCCATCTTCTTAGCATTGCAATACGCCGTAAAATATAGAAAGTACCAGGTTGCCGAGGATCTGGATAGTTTGACCGACAACTCAAGTAAGTTTACCATAACGTTTAAGTCAACACATCTAAATTCACGTCAAAAATTTTGTTTCCTTCCCAACTTTTACTCGGAAGTTTTTTTAACAATTTTATTTGAACCTCAACAGCGTGCAGTGGATCTATGCAAGGACTAGCACGTCGTGCAAGAGCATTATCTTCAGCTACTCTTATCTCCGAAGTAGTATCTCTTGTAAGATTAACACGTAGAAGACCCTCAGGGCACGGCAGACTGGAAGAGACGTCTGGTGATCTTGAGGATGGGTACGAAAGTACTGAAACTCAGGCCGAGTAAGTAAAGTCCTCTTTACGTGATTGTATTATTAAAGCTTCTTCATTTAGTTATTAATGAATTTAATATTTGTTAAAATTCAGCATGGAGGGTGAGGAAGAAGCTAATAATGCAGAGACCGGGACTTTGAAGCTTAAAGAACAAGAAGATATTAACGGCTCGCAAAAAACTATAGTCGCAAGTGTTAAAAGTACACCTTCACGTCGGTCTTCATCATCGAGCACATTAACTTCGATATCCGGGCAACCCGAGGTCAAGTACGCCCGTCCAGTTAAGTAAGTTACGGCATGATGCCTGTTTTACTTTTATATTTTATTTTTTAAACTAATATTTGATACTAAGTTGATTATTTAATTTGTGATTAAAGTTCGCGCTGAGAGTAATTGAATTAATTTTTCTTAATCGGTTTATGTGTTTATTAATTTATAATTTCAATTATAAATTAGATTATATACGCCGTATGCTTTTTATATCTGTTTTTAGTGCATTCCTCTCTGTTATAACAATCTTCTCCAGTATTGCCAAGCGGAATTCAAATAAAGTAATGTGGAATTGCACGGTTACAAAAAAAAATTTATAAATTTTTTAGTCTCTCTAGTATTTTATTCATACATTTTTTGTTAAGCCATTTAATCCAACCATCTTTATGTTCACTCAACATTAATAAATAAATCATAAAAACAAAACTTGACGCTGTTTTTAATTTTTTAAAAGAATTTCAACAAGTTAGAAAAATTATTTTCTCTTAAAAAATTTTACAGCGAAAAGTTTAAAACAAAAATAATAAAATAAAAAACAATCTAAGTGTTTATGTATAAATAAAACAAACGACAAATGTGCATGGCACTTACACCACATGCCTAGATGTCAGCTACACTCTTTATGATTAAACACGAAAACAACCTCTAGGTCACCGCTTGATAGAAAAAATTTAATTAAACCAAATAATTTAAGTTAATTAATGGTCACTCGAGTTTCTTTTTGTTCCTGTTGTCTAGTTTATAATTAAATTTCTAATCATAAAAGTTCAAGTGATAAGTCTGTGAGTAATCGGAGTCGGTATTTTTTTCAGGCTTCGGACGGTCGGCCCGATAAGTCCCGTGTCCGAGGAGGCATCGATTTCAGAAGACAGTAGACGTTGTAGCACTGAAAGTGGTTCAACCAGCGTGAATAACGTAAGCGTCTCACACCCAAAACCAACTAGAGTCCAGGCCAAGGTACACCCGTCCTCAATATTATACGCTTTTAAATTATCCACATTACACACTTATTACATTTTGTTGTGATAATATCGCGGATGGGTTTCCTTAGTTCTTTTATTTTTTATAATTATATACCGCTGTATCTCCGAAGCTCCAATTACTATTAAAATTAACGATTAACTGAAAAAATTTCAGGGTTTTTCACCAGCAAGTACCTCATCAAATATATCGACTTTGAGATGTGGTAAAGAAACTAAGGACCGTCGGAATCGTGAGCGTCTTCTCCAAGGACCCGGATCAGAGTTTAGTTTGGCGAATCCAGAGACAGATCTCGAGCTGGATTATTACGATTACAATGTCGTAAACGCTGGAGCAGCACCTGGTTCTTATTTGGGAATGGATCCAGCATTTCTGGTGTGGATACCGCCATTGACGCCCGGTGAAACAGAAATTCTCGAAGCCATTGAAGAGGATCATCATTACGAAGAAATACCAGATCGCCGAGAAAAGGAGTCACGTTTTATGGACACTGAAGGAGCTGCTCTCACTCCAGCCGAGTATCAAAGGGCCCGTATGCTCAGACAAGACCAAAAAGATCTAGATACGGAAATTCTCGCGAGGAAATACGATCCCGGTGAGAGTAGACTTCATGACGAAATAATAATGGAATACCGGGCGAGGTTACACGAAGGTATGCTACCGATTCATCGGATTCTCGAAGAGTCTCGAGTCAGAGTGAGTGAGGAATCTCTTGCTAAACATTCGCACGACGATACACCTCATATCGATATTATTCCCAATCGGTTGGTTAACGAAACAGATAAGCGCGTTTCCAGAGATACTGCTGCCTCGGGCTCTCATGTTGACTCTAGTGGGAATAGTCTAAGCTATTCCGGAGGAAAATTTACACCTAAAGCCAATCGCGATCGTTTAATTGAGGAACAAGAGCGATCTAGAAGTGCGAGCATACCTAGAAATAATAGATTAAGTAGTGATGATGATAAAAGAAGAACACCGGCGTCTGTTAGAAGCAGATTACAAGAGTACATTGAGAGCAGCGCTAATCAATGCAAGTACAATCAATTGTCTACCGAGACTACGAGGAGCTGCGGTGAGCTGTCGAAAGAACAGAGGAAGAAAAAGCTAGAGGTTAATCAATCATTAATTGTTAAGGATAATAAAAAGTCATTGAATAAATTAAATGATTATCGCGATGTTGGGAGGAATGAAGAATCAAAAGACGAGTTTATTTTACCTAAGCCAAAGACTCCGATAATCGGCAGTAGAAAGTATAAAGATGTCGCGGATTTAAATTTAGTTATGGAGAGTAGTAAGGAAAAAATTTTGACGCATGTCGAGAGTATACCGATGAAAGAATTTTCGCGTACCAGAAACGATTCACCAGCACGAGTTCATAAATCTAAAGAGACTGATAATGATATTAATAATATTGTACTAGTGGGAAAAAAACAATGTCAAATACAGAGTCCAGATTACGGAGTAGAGATGGATATTAGGGATGAAATTTCACGTGATTCTATTTATGATTTAATTGGAGAAGATGAAGAGGAATTTAAATTTGCTGATGACGATGAAGATGAATATATTGATAATAAAATAACAGCATAATAATTATTATTAAAATTCGATAATTAAAATAAATTAATAAAAAAATAAAAAGTGGTTTTCTGTACAGAATGTGAATGATAGGTGGTGATTGATAGTGATGGATTTTTAAAATCTAACTGAAAGTACAATTACCGGATTTTGTGATGATGATTGATAGGATTTGATGTTTAAAGTTTGTCTAAAGGTTGAATATTAACCCTTTTAAACAAAGCTAATGAATCGCCGATGGAAAAAAAAATTTTGTATTCTATATTCCCTACGCCTCATTCGATAATCACCGAGTAGAAGTAATGAATTTTTAAATTAAATGTACAACTATCAAATCTTGGTGTAATATAAATATAAATGTATAAAATGTTTTTATTCGTTTCGGTAGTCTAGGGTCTAGACTGATTAAACAATGAGTCCAATTAATTATAGTCTTACTACAGGATTTTCATATCAATGGGATTGACATCCCATCAATGAAAAAAAAAAAATATAAAATGCTCTAATTATTTTAATTAACGACGGATAAATATGATTAACGTATATTTAATATCAAAAGACTGTATTTTTCGATTTAAAATTTCGAGGCTTTACTTACAATTAGAAAAATATCTAAAAAAATACTGAATAGATAAATAAATAGAAAAGAATGAGGCGTGATAACTCTTTTTTCGTAAACGTGAGATTAAACTATAAGATATAAAGAAAAAAACGAATTTATTTATCGCTTTATGAAAAATTATAATTTTTGTTTATCTGCTCATCAATCATTGACGTTAAATTCATTATTATTTAATATGTAAGACCAAATTAATCACGTGTAATAGCTTAGATTTCATATAATTAAACTGATAATTTAAAAAATTTCAGAGAGCGCAATTTATAAATAATAATAATTAAGAAAAGAACATTATTGTACCATATAAATGTATTTATTTATAACTCTGTATTTTTTTCTAGTCAATTGTTTATTGTATAAAAGAAAAATTATGAAATTTCATTGTAAATGATGAAGGCAAAGCTTATTCATCTGGACATTCTACTTTGAGAGCGCATTATGATCATTTAATTAATTATTTTTTTATATTTCGCGTCCTTTAGTGATTAATTCCAACGTGATTGACTGATATTAAATAATTATCTAGCAATTAATAAATTATATTACAAATTAAATCGTCGCTCAATCATTATTTAATTCTATTATTTGTCAATAATTTAAGCGCTTTACTGGAAATTGTCTATAGCTGTAATATTTCAGAGTAGAACAACTATAAAAAAATCTATCTAACATGCATCGCAGCTGGAACCGATTGAAAAGTCATTATTGGTAATGAAGGTTTAATCACTCACCACACCGAGAAGTACCAGCAGGGTTTCTAACTTGACCGATGGTGACCTGGAATAAAATTTATCAATTAGTAAAACAATATTTAGTTGCATAATTTTTTTGGAGAATTATTATTAGTACCTCGGTGGATAATTGAAGAAAATGGATTATTCTTCTGGTAATTCTCAACAATCGGCACTATTTATTTAATTACTTCACTCCACTTTTACTATAAACTCTAACTTTATAATAAAACTTACCACAAAAACACAATAACACTTAGTAATAATTCTGAACCTAGAGAATAAGACACTTCACCACATCACTTATTTTAAAATACACTAAATATAAATAAAAAAATCACTTTATAATTTTTTTTTTAATATTTATGAGCAAAAACAAGTAAAAAAAAATTTAATTATTAAAAAACAACAAAATAATTGATGAAAAATACATTAAACGATAATTAGCATCAGCCCCAACATTTACATTCACTTTTTTCCGGAAAAATTTTAAATATTCCATCGAAATTATCATTTAAATACCTCGCGACACGAATATTTGACGTAACAGAGCTTTACTTGAGCTTTTAAAGTACTTGGAGTAACTTCATTGTTAAAGAGTCAGGTAGACGCAGTTGGAGTACGTGACAAGGGCAAAAGTGGGACTGAAATGGCGCCGAAAAACCGTTACGAGATGCGCGCGCTTTGTTAGGTTACTGCGCAACTCTACCGCGCAGCTACGAAGTTGCTGTCGCTCAGTTTCGCTGCGACCGTTTTGTAGAGAACATCATCTTTAAATAAAAGTTTCAACACATTTTTAAATTTTAATTGACATAATAAATTTATTAGAATTTAATTTAAATTTAGCAATTGAAAAATTAATTATTTTGTAAGAATTTTTATTGAAAATTGCATTTCAAATTATATTTAGAAGAAGATGAAATTTGAAAAAATCTGTCGGCACAGTAGCGCCATCTTTATGCGGTTTTTCCGGGTTGTTACACTGCTCAATTTTTTACGTTCTTTACATTCTGTCGTTAAAAACTTGTTTTTTGTCATAAATTATTGTAAAAAATTTTAAAATAATTACTTTATATAGTTTTAGTAAATTCGCCATTGAGTATCCCGTCATTAAGGTCTAGGGATCGTTACAAAAGTAATTTGACTAATTTATCTGATCTCCGCGATAATTCAATTATAAAGTTGAAGTTAGATTACAGTGAAGTAGAAGTGAATAGTGATGCTCGTTGAAGATAATGGAGTTTCAGCCCTAAGTACATTGAAGCTGAGTTAGCGGTCTTCAATTAACTGTCGAGGTTAATATAATTCTCCTAAAAATTTTATGCAACTAATTTTTTTTTATTGCAAAATGAATTATTTGTTCTAGAAATTACTGGTCAAGTGATAAGAACCCTTCTGGTACTTCTTGGTGTGGTGAGTCATTAAATCTTCATTTAAAATTTTTCATAACTTGTTTTCCACTTACCTTCGTTAATATTTATTAAAAAATCTATAAATTTCATATTTAACAACTAAAAACAAAATGATTATCTGAAAATAACTCTTGCTGTAGACAATTTCCAACCCCTAATATTAATTCCGTACTTCGACCAGGCTTAGGTTCTTAAATTACGCCTTGATTGCAATAATATATAATTTTTTATTTGTAGTTGTTGATTAATGAAATATTTACTAGAATTTTTTTAATTGATACTAAAGTGGATAAGGGAATAAATAAATAGTTATAAAAAAACACCAATTTATTAATTAAAAATAATATATTAATCACAAATTTTATCTTTTAAACAAATATAATATAATGTTACTGTCAAAAAAAAAAAAAAATACAATATTTTTAACATTTTAAGTATATTCTATTACAATATATGAAAAGAGAAATGCAGTAGGCACATAGGTTTTTTATCGTCATGTTGTGCGATTGATTTAATGAATTTATTTTGGCTATTGAATGTAAGATTTCAAATATTCAACATTTACATACACATTTTCCCATCATTGATAAGAAAATCAGCGGCATGATTTATATTATTTTGGCGATATTATTTTCAAAGACAAAGAAGATATTTTGTTATTTAATAATTATTGGTAAGTCACAAAGTTATTACGAGTATAAAGTTTTCTCAACCCATTCTTCCAAGGTAAATGTCGCTGAGTTAGTTTGATGTGGATCGCGCTCCCGAAATATGTCTGCAACACAAAGCAGCGTTGTAATGATTAGCGATTTGTTAACAATTAGGACAAGTATATTTAGAAGCAAATGACATATAAATGAGGGCAAGACTAGTAAACATCAAGTAGTTCATCCTCAAGAGTTAGTCGATTCTCACCAATCATTGTCTTCAATCTAACCGCACACATTATAAAATCATCAAATGTTACTCTTCCATCTTTAGTGCCGTATCTATGCACCAAAATATTCAAAATGTGGTTGTTTAATTTGTATCCTGCGCTGTTTAGTGCTTGTCTCAATTCAAACGCGCTTAAGTAACCCGTGCCATCTCTGTCGTAAAGACGGAACACAGCCTGTAAATAATTATCATTATTAATTGAATATTAAATAGCCCTTTTATTAAAATTAACAATTAATACTAGTAACTTAGCAGTCACTATGTGACTGCCGTAACTTGTGAATTATAAATAAAATTTTGCTTTATTAAATAATGACTTTTGTTAAATTGCACTGTACTTTCTTAACTATTGACGTTTTTAAAGATATAAGCTCATCCCGATGTCACACTCATCAAGAGCTTTCATTTGAGTACTCACATCAATTTTTCATATATTTTATATATTTATATATATTGTATATATGAAAAATGCATGTGGGTACTCAAATAAAAGGTCTCGATGAGTGTAATGTCGGGGTGAGCTTATATCTTTAAAAATGTCAATAGTTCACAAGATACAATGTCACTTCTTAATTATTGATATTTTTAAAGATATAAGCTCACTCCGATGTTACATTCATCAAGAGCTTTCATTTGAGTACCCACATGCATTTTTGATATATTTTTCATATATACATATATATAATATATATAAAGATATGAAATATATGAAAAATTGATGTGGGTACTCAAATGAAAGGTCTAGATGAGTGTAACATCGGGATGAGCTAATTTTTCTTATTCTCTTAATAATATAGATTAATTATTAATATTAATTACCCTCCAACTTTTAATATCATTCCACAAAGCTTTAAACTCTTCAAATCCAAGCTTGCCGGAATGATCAACATCCAACATCGCAACCATACTTCTGCAAACGTCTTTGCTAAATCCTTCGTTGTGCATTTCTATAAATAAAATTTTTTATTAAACAATTTGAATCAAATAATATAAAAAAAAAAAAATATATACATAGCTCTTTATTAGTCACAAATAAAAATATTAATTAATATAATTAGTAAAAGCATTAGAAATTAGTATCTAGATGAATGATGATCGATGATTCTAGTCTTACCTACAGGCTCACTGTACTGTTCATCCCTTTTTTCGGCAGGACAAACGATACTACACAGCAGAGAGACGAGGGTTTCCAATAAAGAACCTTCTTCATTGGGGCCCGTAGTATTATGGGCCTCACTATGATCAGAAGACAGTGGTAGCTCTACCGTTGTAATAACACACATTGTATGTTAGCTTTGTCGGAATTTACATGCTAATTTATTTATTTACTTTAATTAAACGTAAAACTATCACTGTCAGTAAACAAATTTATTTATTTAATCTTAAATGCGATGGCATGAGTTTGGATTACCTTTTAGTGATTAATCAAGCGGTAAGCTTTTAATAAAATGCGATAAATATATAAAAATATAAATTAATAAAATTTAGTGCAGTATAAAAAGTAAGCCCAAAGCCTTCTCAACAGTAAATAAGACCCAAACAATTTTAAAAATAATAGTCAGTACCTTTTCTCATAGCGTAGTCTAAAATTTCTTTCAACTCTTCCCAATCAACCTCCATATCATCTCCCGCGAGTTTCTTGAAGAACTCGCGGACTTTTTCCTCGTTATTTCGGTCAGGTTGTGGTTCCTCGCGTACCTAAATAACAAAACTCATTGTAAAGTGTGTTAATTTTTAATTTTAATTAAAATTATAAATTCCATTGCAAAAAAAAGTAATCGTGTTAAGTGCTCAGCACTTACTTTATCATTCTCATCTTCTTTATCAAGCTGATTAGTTACCTGAAGCAAGCGTGATAAGCATGCAACAAATTAGGGCATTTCCCAGGAGGAATAAAAATAATTATTGTTTAATTTATTAATTAGTTAGTTTGCAAAGTGTAATTTGTTTGTGGATTATCTTGAGTTAGATTATTCCAATTTTATAAGTGTATTATTAACCTTGATGAGTTTTAAACAATCATGCAAAGCCCTAGGCTGTCAGTGGCCTGTAATGACGTGGTAATACAAATGACTAAGCGCACAGATCATTATCGTGATTCATCATTAAAGCAAAGTGTCGTTAGTCTTATAGCCACGAGGTACAATCTTATCAATAAAATTATATATTACAGTACATACCCTATCATCGACTTCTCCTATTCCAACAGACTCGTCGTTCTCTCTAAAATAAAAAAAATCAGATATTAGTTATTCAGATCCTTAAATAAATAAATTCAATTTATAAAACTTACTCCATATGATTTTTATTCTCAGAGAATACACGCAGTAGAAACTCTCCCTCTTCATTTGGATCAAAAGTACTCGGTACAATGCAATAACTGCCAGGAGGTAATTTAAACCGACAAGTGACCTCGCGTAGATTAATAAATGAGGGTGATCTGGCAACGGATGCGTTGTATTTAAAGAAATTCATATCAAGCGGCTTGGGTAATCGATCCGGGTACTCGAGATGGTAAATAGCGAACCCAATAGTCAAACAGTCCGCGCCCATGCGTTTCTGAGCCCGTCGGTTCTTCTGCATCAGAGCTACAATCACCGTGCACTTGTCATCTCCTTCGTCAGGATACTCCAGAGTGACACGGTACTGCGGATTGTGATAGAAAGTCTCCAAGAAATTTCTGCAACCTCCGGCAGTGACTCCGCGAACCCATTCGCCTTCAAACACGCTCGTTTCCCACCTCTTTTTCCCAGCGCTGAGGTCGTCCTCGGTCAGCGAGTCGGGGTTCAAGTTACAGATCTCCAGGGCCGTGAAAAATTTCTTAAAATCCTGGAAAGATATCCAGAACTCTCCGTCAGTGTCGAAGGTTAATCCCAGCTCTTCTTTCTCGTGATCGGGGATAAATCTCCACTCTGGCGACATGTCACTCCACGGGCCGTTCCACTCGGCTTCGTTACCCCAGGGGTTTCTCAATCTTAGCAGCGGTATTTTTCCGACCTGGTGTGGCGTTTCGATGTCGACGTACTTGACACGAGTGATACTGTAAGCGTGACCTCGGATCAGACCTTGAGGAGTTTCTGCTTCGAGGACATTCGGGTCAGGCTCAATGGAGCATCCCAACATTGAATTTCTCTCATAGGCTTTCAGCAAAATGCTGAATAAATTCGGCGGTGTCTCATCCATTTGGTACAGCTCAGTGACTCCACCAGTAAAATCTTCCATAGCTTCGCAAGCAGTACCTCCTTTTAAGGACTCGTAGGAACCGTGAAGTTTTGCGTAGGCTTTTTCTAACAACGCACTCCAAAACTCGTTTTTCTCGGCTGAGTTTAAAAACATTAGCTGCCCGTTGTAGGTTGGCAGGCGGTCGTCGATTACTACGTCTACCCAGCGGCCATACTGCCAGAATCTAGAATTTAATAAAAAGTCAGTAAATAATTCTTTAGATGTCATAAATTTAATAAATGAAAATAAAAGTACCTGAAGTGAAATATTCCAGCGTAGCCTTCATCAAAACTCTGGTCTTCAGGTACTACTTGGAAGAATAAATTTGGATGCATTGTGAGATTAGCAACTGCTGCCAGCAACCAGCAATCACCTAACTCTCCTTGCTGGACGTCGAATCGCGAGAATCCTTCGACGAATAGCTGAGGATTATCTGCTATTTCCTGAAATAGAAATTTAAAAATTAGTCGTGTGTTTTAGGAGGCTCCGTGTCTTTATTTATCTCCCCAATTATTTCTCGAGACAAAAATTTCTCATGCAAAAAATTCTCAGTCAAAAATTTCTCAACACTTAAGCTTGTTACTGTGTTGTGCCTTTTTATCATAGTTTTTGTGTATTTATCTAAAAATAGGCCAACATATAAGCTAGAAATATTTAAATAAATTTTTGTACAAGAAAATAATACCGAATAAATTTTGAAACATTTACGGCAAAGTTTTTAGTGAATTTTAATTACCATAGGTCTTCTCCATTCGATGTATCTGTCAGGTCTCTTTGAAAAAAACAGCGATGAGTCTGTAGCCGGGAACTCTGGGTCCTCGAACAAAATTCCTTGTGATAAACATTGCTGTCTTAGGGAATTGAAATCCTGAATAGCTCCTTGTGCTCTGTAGCCAGATCCTTTTTCTCCCAACTGTAATATAAATTTAAACAGTTAGTTTTTAATAAACTTAAATTATTTGATAAATTTCCTACGACAATTATCAATTACATTATAAATAGTCTTTCCGATAAAATTTGTAGAAGTTTTAATAGCTCTGTCATTGTAGTGAATAGTTTTTTTCACTGAAACTGGCCTTAATAGCGGGACTTTAGATAAATTCTCTCTCTCATCTGATTGCGCATCGGCAATTTTTTGTTGCAAATATTTTTCATACCGAGTATTGATACTAAATTTTTGAATCGTGTATTTTTGACTGTTCATTCTTTTTTTTTTTTTTTTTTTAAATAAATAAAATTTCACTTTGACATCTAGAGTTTATAACTTGTGCTGCGATTTTATCAAGCGCATAAAACAAACTGAGCTTTACTTTCGTACCTTTTTATCAGTAAAAGGATGTTTATATACTTGATAACAATAAATATATATACCGGGATACAAACTTGACCGCAATCATCTCTAAAACTAATCTATTTACTTTATTAATCATTATCAGTTTCAATGACAGTAACTATCAAATTAATTTTCAATTTAAATCCATAAATTATTAAAAAATTCAATAAATAATTAATTTAATTAATAAAAATAGTGTAAAGATTAAAAATTATTTACCAAAAAGTATAAACAAACAGTTGAAAAAAAAATTTATTAGATTTGACAGGTGAAAAGTGAGGTTAGGTTCTACTTGCTGTGAATTTAATTCATAAATAATTTACAAATGATATAATTTATGAATAAATGTGTTAAAAAAATTTCAATAAAAATAAACAATTGTTATTTCATAACAGTATTAATGAAAAATTGATAATTGTCGTACTCCAACATTTGACAGCTGCAAAATTATCAATGAATATTATTATCATATATAAATACAACAATCAAAGATATAAATATACAGATAATATCATACCACTTTGATATTAAACAATGACGGCAAAACGCGCTTTACTTCGCAGACTGTTTTAACAAAAATATCATTTCCAGGCTCCGTGGCCTCTTGGCTCCCTGGGCTCCAACCATAACCGCAAGATTGCGGATAACTTCCATAGAAACCACTCATCTTTATTATCAATGTTTATAAAATATTTTAGATACTAAGTACACTCTTTAAACCGTTTAGATAAAAACACAACCAGAAACTGATTGTCAAAATAATTATCGTAAGATTAAATCAGTATATTGATCAGAGACGCTTAAACACTCATACGCGCAGTAAGGAATCTGCTCGAATGTCGGATATTTTATTGTGGAAAGAATACGAATGAACATGTAGAAGGTAAATATTGTAATAGTATGAGTATTGGAATTTAATGAACTATGGGTTCGGCGAAGCTAAGTAGAGGTGTTGATTTTTTTTTATTATAATCTCAAGACTGACTTCATCTAATTGATTTCATCATTTACAATAAAATTATTTAGAATTTATAAAATAATTTTAAGTAGCAAATAGTATCAGGCTCAAGGTCACGGTTAAATTCTAAATTACTTTCATTAAATAAGAATATAATTCTTCTTAATTAAAATATTTTATCACTCTTTTAACGACTTAATTAATTAAAGAATTTATTTTAAATTAGTCAGTGGACTAAAAAAAATTTTATTATCAAAATAGATCATATTTCAAAGCATAAAATAAAAATAAAAAGTTTATTGTAAATAATATTCAAATTTCATTCAATAAGAATAATTTTTTTTAATTAATATAATTTATTACTTTATTTATCACTCTTTTAACGACTTAATTAATTAAAGAATTTATTTTTTATTGGTCAGTGAACTAGAAAAAAATTTAATATCAAAATAGATCATATTTAAAAGCATAAAATAAAAATAAAAAGTTTATTGTAAATAATATTCAATATAGTTATGAGTTATGACAATCAGATGAACGTGGCTTGAGTGCAAACTAATTGATTGCATGTGTAGCGTACACAATTTATTTTTATTCAGTGCAATTTACTACAGAGTAATAAAAAATAAAAGTTTTTATTGACACTTACTTGAACTTTTTCGACGGTTTTTTTTGCAAATTCTGGCTCAGAGATAGCAGACATATTCCACCCGTAGCTGGTCATTTTGACAAACGATTTATTACTGATAAAATTAAACTTAAAAGTCTTTATAAACTTGGACTAGAATGAGAAACTAGGTACTAATGACTCTGCATCAAGGTCTCGGTTGACGATAAGTGATAAAACATAAAGACTATTTTTTGGGTCGCTATAATGAAACAGTATAATTAGCTGACGTACGAACGATTGTAGACAAGGAAACTGGCTAGCCGTAATTGAGTCACTTTATGTCAATACTGCAGTCGTTTATTCAACTAGTTGTTGCTTAATATTACAAACAAAATTTATAAATAATTTAAGACTTTTGCGAGAACAAACGTTGCTTAAATTGTGAAACTTTTTCTAAGAACTTAAATTTTATTTTACGTATTATTAGCGAATGCTCGTTGCATTGAGGGGTACGGATGCAGTTAAATAAAATTTAAGCAGCACGGAAGTAAAGCATTTACGATATCGCAGGAACGACAGCTGCTGGTGCACTGAGGGTATTCGAGCAAACGTCAATTGAATTCTCACGTGAAAAACTAGCCGTATCACAAACGGGACTGGTATTTCGGAGGATTAGTAGGCTCTTTATACCCTCAGCCGAGACTAAAGGAAATTTACGAAAACTGACCTGGAAAAAAATGATAAAATTTAACAAAAGCTTGAGAAACAGGCCATATTTATAATATAATTATTTTAAATATACTTTAATGACATCATAAAGATTAAAATTTTTACTATCGGGTTCGCGGTTGCGTAGAATAGCGTCAAAAATCGATTTCTACGTATGATATTACATATTATATATTTAATGCGACGAGAGATAGCATCTTCAGACGAAGAAAACAATTAAATTGACCATTTATTTATTTATTTACTCTTCACGAAGACACATTGCTAATTTAAATTAATTTAATAAAATGTTATTTGATACGTGGAAGGTTTGACCTTGTAGTAGAATAATTTAATGCAATTTTCCAATGGCCTTTACGTAATAGATAATGACTAGAGTATTTAACAGTAATATATTTTTCGTACGACAAAATAAGAAAAATGAAAAGAAAATATTTAATTTTTCAAATTATGATTTTTAAATAATTATTATTAATTTCTATTTTGTTTGTCATTTCTGACAGCGTATTTTTGAATGAGCTCCGCAGTAATTCTTTGTAGACTATTGAGATAAATTATTATTATTTAAGATGATTCATAAAAGAACGACTTTAAAAATACTTTAAGATAGTAACATTAAGATCGCGTGGTGATGTACAGTGGCGTGTAAATATACACATATATATTTGTTTTTTTGTTTGGATAGTAGCCTATCCAGTATAATGATTTTTGGGAAGTAAAACACATGAAAGTTGTGTTGGAAATAGCTCCGACTAAAAATATGAGACAGTTATCCGGGCTTGGTAAACTTGTATACGTTGGCTAGATTCCAAAATAGTTGACAAAAAAATTTTCGCCTTTGGACAATAAGAAACAAGACCAAGGCGCTAACGTAAAAATCTTTGGATATACGCTTTACATTTTCGTGAGCCCGTTAAACTGTTTAACGTCATGCGAAGTAAACCACTTTAAGCCATTTCGAATGTCATACAAACAGTAAATATCATTTAAAAGATTTTTTTTCAATATATACTTTTTGAATAATTAAATTAAATTAATTACTGCAAGTGGTATTAAAAACAGTTTATCACAAACCTTGAACGTAGCTTTGCCGGGATGATAAACGTCTCCGGAACCGGAAAGCCCTCCGCGTAAATGTCTTGAGAGTAAATTATACGAGGCACGCGTATTCCAAACATCTTGAGGGAGCCCCAGTAGCTCTGGATCTCTAAAAAATGATTTATATCTCGATGATATGTTTGAAAATTTAAGCGGAATATAAAAAAACAATTTACCCTTTGACAAATTTATCTGTTTTGAGTTTTCCGTGGTCGTCTTGGACGGCGCGCACGTAAAAATATGCAAACTTAGTCATTGTGTTTAAAGATTTGACAACAATAAAGAATCGGTTGAAAGCTGTTTGAACGTATGCAGCCGGATGAAAAGTTACACTCAAATCGTTCTGGGTTTACAGAGGCAACCCTGCCAACACTACCAGCGTTATACTTTTACATATATATTTAGCGAGCTCACAATAACAGATACATACATACTGTAAGGTAACGAACGGCTAAGGCTTACACTTCTCTCGCTTGTCACATTGTCTTTAACTGATTAAATCTATGGACCAGCCACCAATTAGAACCCGACGTTGACTAACCCGTGGTGAAATAGTCTTGAGTACAAGTCGCTTCTTAATCCATAAATCCTCAAATCTCCGGTGATTAATTTTGTTTCCCCAAAATAACATTTGTCACTCGTTCAATCGCTACTTGAGTTGATTGAACTCAAAGTTTTGAAATAAATTAAAAAATTTATTTATTAGTAAAAAAAAAGTGGAGAATTCTTTTTTAAATACATTTCTTTATTACATAGTTTATTTCTTACAATGTAGATATATATCAATGAGCTATTTACGAAAACTACAATAAAAATGTGAATTTATAAACATAAATACAATAACTATCTATTAAACTTTTACACTATAAAATGAATTTTAAAATGTGTCTATGCCTCACAATAATTGTTATAAAAATTGTTTGCTTTTTTTAAACTCAATGAAAGTATGACAAAAATGTATACACGATACTTCTATAAATCCAATAAAAAATGTAGCATTACTTCTGGATATATTTAAATATCATATTTACTTTATAAATTTTAGTTGCAAAACAATATCGTCTACATGGATCATTATATTATTTTTGTACGTATTCTTATACTATTTTACATCAATACATAAATCTACAATTCAATATTTATTTATTTTTTGTTTATGTAATTATATTAATTGTGTTAAATGTTACGCTTTCATTGTAATTTCCGTCCCACATTTATTTACACTGTGTATTTATATATATTTTTCAACCCAATCAGAGAACCAGTCTCGATTTTAGTCGGGTAGTATACTTATACTTATACTTATAGAATAAAATATCAATAACTTAATATCCTTATCCTATTGTTTAGAAAAAAATTAAAAAAATTATCTAGAATAAAATTTTTTCAAAGAACGTAATGCCCGTTCTAACTTTTTACTGAAAATTATTATAATTTTTCATAAAATATAGAAAAATATTTTTAAAATTAATAACAGTTAAAATTATTTTGATACAAGACCCATAAAATAACAGAATAATATTATTATTATTTTGTTCTTTAATTTTTTAATATTAATTTCGTACATTGTCGTGAGTATTAAATCTCTTAAATTGAATTATGATGTATGAGACTTAAAAATTATTGAGCAAATTATTTTAATAAAATAATTTCAATAAACTTGTCAACCGTTTCAATTAAAAACACCCGGTGTTCCACATGGTGTGTTATATATAAGCAGTTTAATTACTCGAAACAATACCGAGAAATTTAAATTATCCAAATTTAGAAATTTTCTGCGAATACCGAATGAAGAATAGGCAATGAGAGCTAAAAATAATATGCGTAAGCGTAGTTAGACTGAGAGTTTGCATTAAAAACAGAACTCCCGTCATTAATATGCATTATTACACTACGTACTATTTATTATTATTACTGCTTCTTTAAATTGCTCGCGTTAGTTTGCACATGATTCCGTTTGTCATCAAAAATAATCTTACGATTTATCAATAAATGTACAAGGCAAGTCATAGTCGTTCAATAAAAAAAAAAATTAACATTTAACATTGCATAAAAATCGTTACATTTTTATTGTTGTTTTTTTTTTCTATAAAAAGCGGAAGAGTAATGAAATGTTATAATTGAGCTTTCACAATAAAAATAAAAATGAAAACGAAACAATTAGTTAATTAATACTTATTACGTAGCTTATATGATAAAATATAAAAGAGTTTTTACGATAAATGATAATAATAATAATCTTTGGCATTTAATTTACAATTCCTCGTAGAGTCTGCGACAGAAGTCTCGAATAAATATTTGTTCATTAAAACTAAATTAATTAAATGAAAAGTCAACAGTGAGAAGAAAAAATTCGTAATTATTTTACGTATTGAGCTTTTTAATTTAAAAATAAATAACTGTGTACTTAAAATATACATATTTATTTCGGTGCTCAAGATGCATTTGACTGAGCACGCAAGTTAGTAAATTATTTAAATTATTTAATTGCAAATACTGAAAATACACTGTTGTCCGTTACAAAGTCCAAACAGTTATTTCTTCTTTCATTTTTTATAAATATTATTATATTTTTTAAATATATTTATAATTCACACAATCAACTCTTATTAATATTCATCACCTTAGTTGTTTTAAATCGATTCCTCACTTAATATAATAATTAACGAGGAAAGACACAACTATTTATTAAAGCTTGATGTCGAAGTCGACCGTTGTTATAATAAATATTCATAAATGCATATACACACATATATATATATATATATATATATATATATACTTTTTTTTTTTTCATCATTATTTTCATATATATGTGTATATATTTACCCCGTTATCCCAATTTATAACACAAATAAAATGTTACAAAACAATTTGTTATATATTGGATTTACACAACAATGTTTAAATTAATCATATAATATATTATATAAACAATAACAATTATAATTTTATGTTTTCTCGTATCATGATAGTAGTAATAATAATATTTATCATTATTACTAGTATTATTATTATTATTTTAGTTTATGCATCCAAAACGATTTATCGTTTCGAGTTATAAGATTATGACACAAAATATTCATGTAATGTGTCTATTAATAATTCTAAAAGACACGATTACTCAACATGTCAGATATACATTACTCTTTTCAATAATATTATGTACCGGTGAGCTTACAATTTGAATTTTCCTCACCAACACTCTCTAAGCTTACTATACTTACAGCAAATAATCTAATTCTTTAAATAATAACACAAATAAATCAATTAATCAATGGCTAATTTGATGAATTAATCTAGTGTCTTTTGAAATTAGCCATGATTATTAAATTCGACAAGTATTATTCATTAATAAAGCCACACAATTAATGAAGTCACTTATTACTGGCACTATATTAATTATTATTATTATTATACCATCAATTTTACTTGTTTGACGTATTAAAACTCGATGATTTCGATCTACTTGATTAACATACAATATAAAATTGGACACTCATTTATTTATCATTTATCATTAATATTTGTTTGATAAATATATTCATATTCATATTTATATACTATGCACGGCATCATAAAGAAAGTTTCAGGTAAAAAATGTGACTTCAATTCTATAAAATAATTGTTTGTTTGTTTTTTGTCATGTTTTTTTTTTTTTTATCTCTAAATTCATTAAATGAGCGTTTCTTCAGATGAATGTCTTGTTACGCTGGTGTATTCGTCGTAACAATTGATAATCATTAATGGCATTGATACTGATTTTCGTAATTTTGTTCTGGTGATCTGGGGAGAATGTTCTCGTCAGTCCCCGGTATACATTTCTCAGCAGGAGCATTCTTCTTCTCTCGGTAGCTCATGTCCTAACGACTCCTATCGGATAAAAAATAATAAAATATAATAACTGACAATTATTGTAATAACAAAAATGTTACCTTTTTTATTTCTAAACTGTCAGAAGTAGTTATGTGTGGTGGAGCTGAAGAAAATTTTATTTTCTCATACGGAATAGCACCACGATAAAGTGTAGCCGGATCCAAACTCAATGTCGCTTTCAATGAATTTTTCTTAACAATACCATTGACATTATTCACTGAATTATTAGGACTCATGTTTGAATGATTTGGCGAGGATTTAGGTGTGTTTTGTAACGATAATTCAGTATCTGGAGGCGAAACTAACGAAGCGTTGACAAGTGAATCGGAAATCGTATCAGTGGTTGTTGTACTTTCACCATTTTCGATCGGTTTGTCGTATTCTTCTCTCACGCCCTTTAAATCTTCATTATTTAATATTGGTTTTTCATTAAGATCTTTATCTTCATTTAACGGGTGTTTAATTATCTCCTGCAATATCGTTAATTAAATCTTCAGAAATCAATATTCGTAATTATAATTATTAAAATAAAAAAAAATTGAACCTGTTCATAAATAATTGGTGGCTTGTCCTCAGACATTTTGCGTATCCTGACATTATCGGCATTAGCCTCCCGTTCTTTCGGCTGTATCAAGGTCGTCTCTTGAATTATTTCACCCTCTAAATCATCATTGTGACGCAGAGAGGCATAGACAATCCCCGGAACAAATCCCATCTTGTAAGCACCGGGGCGAAAATTAGTGCGCGGCTGCATGTACCCACATCCGTCCAGCTGTGCAGAAATCATGAAAAACCTGAGAAATTTCAATCAACTCGAGCCGCTATTCTCATCATCTCACTTTCGACGCTAATTTTCTATACCTAACGAACACGTAAATAAAAATCCGTGAAACTAGAGATAAAACTGATGATAGGTAGTTTTATATTTTATTATTACAATATTTTTCTCTACTACCGTTCGTCTTACTAATTGTTAGTTTCACGGATACTGCTCTAAACCCTTTAAACTAATTGACATTGCATTTTAAACACGGTTTCACAGAAATATGATAAATAAATCAAGCATAAAAAAAAACATAAAATAAAACTTACATTGGAATTTACATTGATGCATTCAGTTTCTGGATCAGGTCTCATGATAGTGATTTCTCTGTCGCAATCCGGGAGAATATCATAATTTGGCATCGGATGATTAATAACATCTGGATCCTGGAGACAGTAACCTAATCTCTCGACAATGAGCTCAAAGCTAGGTCGATCATCGGGCTTGGGATGCCAGCACTTAGCCATTATACCGTAAATAGGATCAGGACACTCGGCTGGTTTCTCGAGACGTCCTCCTGACTGCACCATCAACATTACTTCTCGGTTTGAGCATCCAGTGTACGGCATGTACCCGAATGACATAATCTCCCAAAGGAGTACGCCGAAAGCCCTGTTGAAACACACATCTATAATACTGCTCTGAAAATGTATTTGCTAATTCAGTATTCCCAGGTCTGATGGAAGGATATACACCTTACGGATGATGGCTAATGAAAGATTCATACCTCCATGAATTACTTACCACACATCAGTCTTTGTAGTGAAAATCCCATCCAAGAAACTCTCTGGCGGCATCCATTTAATGGGCAACATAGCCTTCCCGCCTTTTCTGTAATAGTCACTGCGGTATATGTCACGCGCCATTCCAAAGTCAGCAATCTTAACAACACGTCCCGGTCCTTTGCAAGTTAGTAGGCAATTACGGGCTGCAATGTCGCGATGAATAAAACGGGCATCCTCCATGTATTTGCAACCACTGGCAACATCATGAGCGCAAATAATTAAGTCCCTCATTGTCAAAGTCGTTGGTCGATCCTAAACAAATTTCAATCGTCATTCATAATTACCTTACCTATCTCTCAATAATTTATTAGTGTCTGCCACTAAGCAGTGGCTTAACACCTCCACTCGGTAAATCAATACTTACGGGTTTGGGTCGCTCTTCGCGCAGAAAATTTTTCAAATCCCCTCCGGCAAGCAATTCCAAAACAATATAACGTGGATTTTTGTCAAATGAAATTCCGATGAACTTGACAATGTTCGGATGATCGAATTTGCTCATAATAAGCGCTTCCATCATAAAATCAGCTGCTGCTTGGGACGTTGTTACCGCTGGCAAAGTTTTAACAGCAATCTGAGCTTCTTCATTGCGGGTGTACTTGTAAACACCTTGAAAGACCTCACCGAAAGCTCCTTGTCCGAGCGGTTTCACGCAAGTAATTGATTCACGTGGTATCTGCGGCAAGTCTTTGATACTGTAAAAGTTACCAGCAAACTCGTAATTCGGATTAAATTCAGTCATTATCGTGTCGGAAACACCCGGAAATGGATTTAACTCTGTTCCGTTGCCGAACATCGCCAATCTGCGCCTCGAGACGGCCTTTTTATTTTGATATCTATTGTACAATATAAAGCAAAGCGCTGAGAAAGATACCGCAAGTACGAAGCAAACGACAATCAATACTATCTTCATCGTCTGATTGGTAAAATCTAGCTCGTCGGCCAAGCACGAGCGAGAATCATTTCCAAGCTGCCAGCCAGGCGGACACAGACATCTCGTCTCGCTGAGATGCCGATCAACCGCGACACACCGAAAATCGCATCCACATCCGCTTATAGCCGGAACTATTAAAACTTCTCCTGAGCCAGGATTGTATCCGGATCTGTAGGCCGTGTGGATTAGCTCGGGCGATATGTACGAGAATCCACCCTCGCCATTGGTCGAGCTTTTTACCCCGGTAGTTCCGCCAGTGAATCCGCCACCTCCGCCTCCAGTTCGACAGCCTCCACCTCCTCCACCGAAGCCTCCGTCCCCGTGAGTTTTATTTTTCTGATGACACCCGACACCGCCCACGCCACCCTTCATCAAAGATTGGCCCACCGAAATACGTCTCAAGTCGTGCGTGGATGACCCGTTCCATCCTCCTCCTCCTCCCCCAGATTTATCTCCCGGTGTCAATTCGAGGACGTGATTTTTCATGTCCACGTAGGGTCCATGACCATGCTGAATTCCGTCGTCGACAAATTGCCCAAACCCGAGTCCTCCACCCCCCGCAGCGACCAGCAGTGGTTCACGCTCTCCCGTTGATTTTACGGTAAATACATATGTAGCTCCTCCGCCTCCTCCCCCGCCGTTGGTCAATTCGATGTTCTTTACCTCGCGGATCGCAGATTGGACCCCGAGTAGCGGAGATTCATTACCTCCGGCGGTAGAAACGACACCGCAGGGATTGTTCATCATGCCCAGGCTCTTGGTGCACGCATCAATTCCTGGTTGTCCCACCAAAAAGTACAGAGTCTGGCCTTTTTCTAGTTCAAGAACACCGCGAACGAAAGCTCCGAGGGTGCTGCCCATCCCTCCGGAGCCTCTTCCTCCGCGAGCTCCCACCGCCATCAAGGTGTAGTATCCTCCGCTCGGAACCACCCACTTCTGCACTCCTCGATAGTAGTTCTGAGAAGAATTGGCTTGTAAAGTCTCAGGGAGTTCAACTTCTGACTCTGTTTTGTTGTATTCACGAGCACATTGCTTGACCGTTGGTCCGAAGCGTCCCGTTGCGCCACATGTTGTTATTCTCACCACTAAACAATATATATGTACATTACGTAGTGACATCAGCGAGTTAATGATGTCTAAAAATATAATATAATATAATATTGGCAGAAGCCTTGTATGACGTACCTGTTTCATTCACGAAATCAAAGTGTTGCTCGATTGGATGCTCTGATTCAATAACTGGACTGTAATAATTAAAATCTCCCACCACGTCTGCCGGAACTCCTGTGATACAATTAATTAATTTCTTTATATTATACCATAATTGTTATCATTATTATTATTATGGCCATTGTATTGGTTATTATTATGTTTTTAAATATTATGTTCTATTTATAGATTAAAATTGATTTTATTATACGAACCAATTCCAAAGCACTGAGGACTCAATGAAAAATCATCAATAGCGACGTCGGCTTTAGCAGCGTAACTTTTACTGGATTCAAATTGCAAAAAATATCGGTATCGAATGTCAGGTAACGTAACAACCTGATTATACCAGATATCGTTACGATCTCCGTAACTCCACCACAATCTCTGTGAGTGGTTCTGATGAGGCTTTAGTTGTATCAAATATAGCCCCAAGGATCCGCTGAATTCGCCGTACTGGTGGAAGAAAAAACGCACTTGACATGACTGATAGAACTGGCTTTTCGAGTCAGCGTGGTAAGGCGGAGTTGGATTGAATATTGGGCTGTTCAGAGTCGCGCTTTCGCCCAATCCGTGATTTCTCGATGAATTTACGAACGCATAAGTCCCTGTCATGATGAAAAATAAAATAAAATCCATGTATTGGGTTGTCATTGATATTAAAAAAAAAAAAAAAAAAAAAAAAAAAAAAAATAAAATTTATTGGCGTACCTGTTTCGTTGCGGTATGTGTGATCGTAACTTGGACCAGTCCTCTCTGTAGGCGTACTTCCTTGATGCAGCGTCCACTGTAGAGTTTTATTGGGTGCGTTTTTCCACCCACACCACCCTCTTTCGAAATTACACCTCGCTGTGTCTGGCATTTTGTCTAAAGTAATTAACGCCCAATGGAAAACATAAAAGTTCAGGGTTGAGATAAAATTATGAGCATATTCGAGGGTGGTTAATTTTAAATTATAACTTGACTGAAGAATTTAATAAAATACATACCACATTCAAGAATTTCATCTTCTCCCATAGCACAATCAGGCGTCAAGTCGCAAATTCGCGTTCTATTGATACAAGACCCGTTTCTGCAGTGAAACATATCCAGCGTGCACTTATCGCTAACAGGCGGCTGAGATTCTGCAGACAACGTTCAAAGTTAATATATTATATAATAAAAGTATAAGTATTTTCATTATTATTGTTATTACCTGGAAAACAGTCATCCAGTCGGATATTGTCAATGGAGAAGGTGGCATTCTTCGGTACAACTATTTCAAGACCAACTTTATAAGGCTGGCTAATAGCTCCAAGTTTTAGTTCGGTAATATTCCACCTGAGAAATAAGACAATCGAGTATTTAACAAGAGTAATTAGCAATTACCATGCAGCAATAAATAAATACAATATATATACAACAATATATTATTAATTATAAACTACTAACTTGGCGTCATTGTTTCCCGTTCGCTCGGAGGCAACAGAGGTCGTAATATTGTTAGACATAATAATGAGCCGTATTATTCCGTCTCCCATTTCTGTTTGACGTGTAGCGAATTTGAGAAAACACTGAGCACCCGTGTGAGAAATGAGAATCGACCAGATTTGTCCGATGTTCGGGCCATCCAGCCGCAAATAATGACCCGTAGTGTACTCGCTCGCGTCATTTCTCGAGACTATTTTGAAGTTGTCGGTGTAGTTCCAGGAGCTGCAGGGCGCTTCGAAGTCACAGTGCCTCAGAAATGGGGGAGGAACCCGTTCTTCGGCTAACGCGGCTTGCAGCTCCTTAATCCCTCGTCGCGGCTCGCAATCACCCCCGACGATGCAGTAAAGCGTTAAAAGCAATTTAAGGAGAAAACAGCCGTCCCTCTTCAATATCTCCCGTTTCCGAAGATACCGGGGGGAGCGCGCTGTGATGGAAATTTTAATAATCGAAGATTCCTTGCTGATCATCACTTCGGTATCAATATTTAGTAGTTTTACAATATTTTATTATTACAATAATTATTATTGGTGTATTATTTTTTCCCTGTCTGTGGTGGATCTCCTGGGATTTATAATCAGCAGAATAATAATGTTTAACTTTAGTTTCATGTAGGCGTTTAATTCAAGTTCAGACGCTCGGGGATTTAAAGTATGGGAATTTCTATTTGTATATATCGCATTATTATTATATATTCATCGTATTGTTTGTTCTGATACATTGCAGTCATACTCAAACCCTCAATTATCATACCACCAGGATGAATCGACTCTCGTTGTATTGACGCTCCATAAGTTGTTTACTGTAAATGAATAAACGCCATTAGGAATCATTCAAGCAGTAATTATGGATCAATGAATAAAAATAATCTTATATATTCCAACCAATTTATCACACTGAAACTAAACTACTAGTTTTATTGTTTTATATATCTGTATCTACTGTGGCCAGAGTCTATACAATGTATAACATTTATTCAAAAGGTTTTATGTCATTTTATTTCACGGCTAACAAATCAACTCTACAAATCCGTCAATTAATAAATAAAAAAATATCATTTAATTATATTTCAGTGAGCTTTGATGTCAATCTGGTTGACTGGTACTCGATAGTCTGAAAAGTTTTACACAGAATTAAATTGTTGCTCAAGGGATAATCATTTTATCTCCATTTCACAGAATCATATCCATTGTCCCATTTAGACCGGCTGATCGATACTTTCATATACACGAATAAACTTGTATGTTAAATATTATTTATAAATAGTTTAGTTGTTTATATTTCAGGTGAAATTATAATAAAATTTTATATTAAAATTAAATTTCAGAGGGAATTGGAAAACAACCGCATAATAATTTGCGGTCTCGCTTTTGTCAATTTCCCTCACTTGACAATCGAGTAACATAATTATGTACTATTCACAGTAGTATATTAATTTCGGAAAATATGTGGAGTACGTCGTTGTTATTTTATTATTCTTTTTTTTTTTTTTTTTTGAAAATAATAATAATAATTATTATTTCTATTATGATTTAATCCGTAGTCATGAAAAACGATACGTCAAGAGTTTTAATATTCCAGGATTTCCTGTTACCTTGTCGACCTCATTCAAAGGAATTTAAACTCAACATTTTCCCTTATTAAAAAGTTCGTCTGACGTCGATAGCGTCAAAAAAAAATCCGATATGATAAAATAGTTGAAATTATTTTTTATAAAATAACTAATAATGTTAAAATAAAATAAAATAATATTAAAAAAAAAAAAAAAATAACAAATAACACGTGTCTAGACTGAACGATATTTTATTACATTTCCGGTATAATTAGAGTATGCATTCATGAGATTCGCAGTCTCAGTGTTGGATTGGTACATGAGATGTGGTAATAGTCGTAATATCCGGCCTAATCCTATCCCTCGTACTCGGTAATCTTAATGTTAGCCAGCAAGCCAAAGACTATGCACCACAAGATACAAAATAATGCTTCTATTTAAAATTTATAAAACAATATAAACATTATTATTTATAATAATTATAGCAATAATAAATATAACGAAGCTTATGCGTATGCGTGGTTGTTATTTACGTCATTCGGCTTTTAATTTTATAGCAGGACTTTAAATAAATTATTTTAAATAGAATGAAAGGATAAGTACTAAATTTATTATGTATGATAAACGTGATAAGGATAAAATTCTAGAATATGATACACGTATTTATTATTATATTATATTATATATGAAGATGAAGACGAGCAAACGGCATAAGCCGGATTTATTTCTATAACTCAATATTTTCACAGCGTAAAAGTTTAGCTGCGACTAACCAACAGAGCAACCAACCAAGTAAAGGGAAAAGTTAATACCGGAGAATCAGCATCATCGGAAATGCTTTAACTATTTCTCCGATATCCTGTAATTTCCTCTTTTATATCCATCTATATATTATTATTATTATTATTATTATTATTATTATTATTATTATTATTATTAATATCATCATTATTATTATTATTATTATTACGTATCCTGACATTAAACTGACTCAAATAATTGTTGGATAAAAAAAAAATAATAATAATAATTTAATTAAATAATTTTATCCAAGTCGGAATAAAAAGTTTACTGATGAGTTCGCTGCGAAACAATAGAGAGACCGTTGAATAAAATATCTTTAATGGATCCGGAGCTGAAGGGAATACTGATACGAAATCATTCAATAGTAATTATTATCATTGATTATTATTAGTTGGTGCAAAGTCGCGTGGTTCGCTTACGCCTACGCGAAATTCATCGCGTTAATTTGATACATCCAATCCAATGAATGATTTCAATCACTCTGATAAGTATTCGGTATTACTGAACACTGTTCAATTTATCACTCCTTAAAATAAAATATTCATCAAGCTACTCAATGAAACTATTGATTTAATACTATATACTGTGTGTTATATTTTTTTTTTTCTTCTATAAAACTGGAAATGTTTGGCAGCGAAAAACAAAATTGATAAGTCATTAATCAATAGACCGAGAAGAATAAACAAAAGCACTCACCCTTGTGGATGCTGATCGGGAGATTTATTCAAATAAAAGCACTGTCAACACACAGTATGCATTACAATTAATAAATAAAAATAATTAATAGTATTGTTACAACGATAAATAATCCAAAGCTGTGATTTAAAGTATCGACGTAACTAAACGTGCTGTTGATAGAATAAAAAACGTAACACTGTAATAAATAGAGAACCGTAAAAGATTAATAAACGTGCGTAGTGATGCTGCGTTAGTTGGAGACTTACCATCACCACCCACACAACGTGGAAGCTCCTGACAGACCCTTTGGTTTAGTTGTTTTTTTTTTTTTTTTTTTTTTATATTTGGTCTCTGTTATCAAACCGTGTGTACATTACACGGGAGAGCGGAGAAAGAAGGAAAGAAATAAATAAAGAAAGAAAGAATGAGAGAGTCAAGCACAAAAGCACATATTCGATCGATGCTACACCAACGTCCGGATAAGCTCTCGGTTGGTACGTTCTACCCTGTTACAGCATCCAGCATGTTTCGAGGTTTTGAAACCCCCTTTAGTTACTCTACTGTTAGTTCACTCGAAAAAACTCATCAATAATAACTTTCAATCATCTTTATTGTTTAATAATTAATTTTTCCGGCTTTGTCAATTAAAATCAACTTTTAAAACTTGATTGTTAATTTATAAATTAATAATTGAGTATTAAACCGAGTTTTAATGTCGAATAATTCTATCACCACTGGATGACCATCAACTTGTCTGTTTGCTCGTTTCGTGTTAGTTGGACAGCATCCAAATAATGCTGGCCTCGCGCCTACTGTTCAAGCTACACCAGAGTAGTAAAGATATTGCCGGGCTCGAGGAGGACTCCGCCCCTGCTGCTCTCTCTCAGAGATACGGTTTTAACAAGCGCAGACGCGTTTACCCACACTTTTGATGCTGTCCGTCTCGTGGTCCTGTTCTCTACTCCCTCATATATATTATTATCTCCAAAAATATATCTCTATTGTGCTATTATTACTTACTATTTACTCCGACAAACATTAATCATCACTACTTACCTGCATTCGGCAATTGCATCTGAACTAGCGCTTTTACTTTGAACAATCCAAAATTATAATGACAAATTAAATTTATAAGCAGTAATTTTTTTTACATAACAGAAACCCATTGAATAATAATTACGTGTTTGTTACGTTAATTTGCCATTCTTTAAATCCATGCGCAGAAACGCGCGTCAAAGAAACCGGACCAATAGTTTCATTTCTTTCTGATGGAATTGTTTTTTTTTTAATTTCTATTGGTCGGACGGATGCGCATGCGCCCGATGGAATTAAAACTCCTGATTGGTCGGTTCGAAAAGTGACGTTGTGACGTTAGCAAGAATTGCGGGAAAAATTGTTACACTAGCGTGTTCTGAAATAAAGGTTAATAAGTGAGTGAATTTTTTTATTAAAATGTCGATTCACTTGCAAATTAAAAAACAACATATTGACGGGAAAAATAACAGCCAGGTGCACTCGGTACCCTGCAAAATTCAACGCACTGGACCAGCAAATGTTTCCAAGTATTTTACGCCGTACATCACAAAAACCGACGATGATCGTGAGTTTTAGGTTAGAATTTTAAGTATTTTATTTTGGTTACTCATTGATACAACTGGCTTACAGATTTTAATGCGTCCTTTCGCGGATACCCTTTGCATGGAAAAAAATTGTACGTTCCTGAGGGATACAAGGGAATTGTTTTTTTCGAAAAAAAGAAACCTGTAAATCCTGACCTTAAGAGGACTTTTAACTCTACGGAGTCTTTCACAGAGTTTACTTACTGGAATTGGGATAAACTTCCGTCTAAAAATGACGCATTCGACGCTGCGTTAGACTGGGTTGACATTGCTGAATCCGTGAGAATTTTTTTTTTTATTTTAATATTAAGAAAATAATTATTCAATTATGGAAATATTATTCTTAAATTGCAGCTCCACGCTCCGGTTGAAGAGTCAAGTTGAATTGTTTTATATTAATCGATATTCTGTGGCCTTATGAAGTTTTCTAATTATTTTTTATATTATAAGTAAATAAGTAAGATTTAATTAAAGTAAAATAAAGATAATTTTTAGGAGATTGGCGTAATTTTATTAAATAGTTTCAGTTACATTCTACATAAATAATTACTGATACATGATCTTGTCCAAAAAAGAATTTTTTTTTATTACAAGTATCACGGGATGGCATTGGTCTTAATAATACTATTACAAATAATTTATTTTATCCAACAGAAATTGGTCAAAAGCTATTTTATATATTTGTTTTTTAAAGTCCATTAAATCGGTAATTTATTTCTCTGTTACTCATATGACTTTACCAAAAAAATAATTAAATAATTAATTTACATACTGTTAATATCTACAAATTGAATTTTAAAAAATGTAATTTTTAATAATAATTATTTATACTGGACTCGTTATATAAGCTGCCGTATATAAGTTTATAAAATTTGTACAAAAGTTTATTTTTAGTCAATATCGTAATAACAGAGTAGCCGTTTATTATTTCCAAATATCACTTACTTCGATAGATATTCGATATAAATATAAATGCAGTTGCATAAAACGAATCTAAACTACAAAAATAATAATTATATATTGCACTACTTCTTTATCCAATAAAATCTTTAAATGTGCGCAATAATAACGTGTACCTATTGATAAAATACTATTTTTCTTCATCATTCGCTTTTTCCAATAATTAATCAGTTTTTTTTTTTTTTTTTTTTTTTTTTAATAAATAGTGATTAAATATCAGTCATTAAGATAGTTGAGGTTCAGTCTGTTTCATTAATAAATCCATTGATAAATAATAAATAATCTAATAATTTTGAATTAACTATAAATACCTCAACTACCTTAAATACTTTATCAGAACATACAAAGCATGAGATTTCATCGAAATGCTACCTTCTTACTTATTATAATAATAATAATAATAATAATAATAATAATAATAATAATAATAAAAATTATCATTATTATAATAAATTCGACTAGACATAGTGAGTGCCTTAAAACGCTTATCTCAAAGCCCGACTGGCAAATAAATAAATATTTACATTGAATATTAATAATTAAATAAAATCTAGTGTGAAAATAGGTTTGTATAATTTTTATCACGTCGAGAATTTGGAATGTTTCTATAATGTGTACTACTGATTACTCTTTTCCTCTAAGTTAGTGCGTAATTTTTACACTGTACGTCCGGAAATTCACATTACATAAACATTGACCATTTTCACATAGCTCTATGCTCTAGATAGGCTAAAAAATAGCTACAAAAAACCAAAACAATTATTCAAAACAACCAACTAAAAATTGTTCATATCAATAGCTTGCTCTTGATACTTGGATTGCTCTTGCTGCTGTTTAATGAAAGCGCTGAGACGGTTAAGTAAAAATTGTTTGTCGTGTCCCTCGAGCACCAGTTGGTTCTTGAGAACCACGACCATGTGTTTGTTCGCGTCCGAAACCGCGTGATAATAGTACAGGAGTAATGAAAGAGCGATAAAAGCGGGTATTCCGAACCCGGCAGTCCCGAGAAAAAATAGAGTTCTGCGTATCCACTCGGGGAAGCGTAAGAAAGTCTGTATGATCAATTCCCAGACAGTGTGAAGGCCTCGGAATGGACCACAGGACTTTGATGGTTCTATTTCGGCAATTGAGTAGGCCACTGGACTTATCGCCAGGATAAAAGACACCAACAGGACGAACATAAACAGCGAATTTGAGCGACTAGCTCGGTAAACCTGGCTCGAGGGTGTGCTGTTAACCAGACACGAGAATTTTTTAATGTAAAACAAGATGAAGCAGCCGATTGTCGAGATCAGTGGCAGTATTGGTACAAAAAACATACCGACCCAACAAATTGTTTGGGAGTAAACGATGTCCAAAATGTGTCTTGGCAGATCAAACTCCTGTTCGCCGATGAACCGGATGAATTTATTCTCACTGTGTCGGGCGATCAGCGAACGAGGAAAATTTATAAAAAATGTCACCAAAAATTGTGTAAAAAAATCCGTAAGGTAAAGTTTAAAAAATTGTTGTCCGACGAATGTTTCCCAGCACTGAGGACGGTGATGATTCGCGTTGCTCACATGGCGCGGCTGCTCATTGTCCTCTTCGGGAGTCGAGATTTTTTTATAAAAACTCGTCAGCAATACCGCCAACGAGGCTAGACGCAGGAAGACGATTCGAAATAATGTTAATCTGACTACAAACAACGGGTTGTAGTGCTCTAGAGCCACCAGATAGCGGAACAGAAAAGGTACCACTATATTTAATCCGACGATACAGACGTAGGGCAAAAATTCGTAGGCTATTTGGACAAGACGTTCAATGGATATGTAAGAGGAGCTTTCGGCTTGCGAGGAACCCGGGTCTTCTACTTTGTCAAACGACAATTCTATTATAAAGTATATGAAAACTCCGCAAGTACTCAGTACTAGAATAACCAGCAAATTAACAATCAGACGGACGAAAAATAATTTTATTCTCTCCTCGCGCGTACGATTTTGCCGCTCCTCCTCGAGTCTCTCTGCTTCCAAAAAAGCCTTGATTTCATTGTAAAGCGCTTTGTGTTTAATCCCCGCGGCTTTTTCATTCTGAATACAAAAATCCCATCCGCCGAATATTAAATTGCAATACTGATAAAACTGTCCCTCACCCTCGACGACTCGCTCCTTGAAGCCTTTAGCCGCCGATCGAATTATTGCAATCAAACTAATAAGAGTCACGGCAATTATCGTGCAAATGTAAGCCAGAGGCAGATCGTAGTAAGTGCCGTTCCCGTTTTTCCCGTAAATCTGATTAGTGTACGCTCCGTAGAACAGTAATGTGCGCTCCAATATTCCCCGAGCCTGCATTATATCGACGAATGTATTCCCAGACTCTGAGGAATTCCAGTAAGCCTCCGATGAACAAGACACACTGGTGGAGCTGTTCCCCGTGCAAGGCTCCGGCTCCTCAACTAACACTATTGTCGGCAGTATTATGAACGCAAATATTACAATAAACAGTGTAATGTTGAGAAACATGAGCCATTTTATGAATAAAAAGTATGCGACGATTCCCATCCCAAAATTACCGCCTATTTTTTTGAAACTCGTGCTCCACAGCTCCATTTTAGCGTAAGTTTCTTTCATCCGGGCTTTAAACTGCTGCCAGGCTTTTCTGCGTTGCCATTTGAGCTGCTCGAAGCCCTGGAGTCTTAACTTTGTCGCATTCTGGAATATTATAAAAGTTTTTAGCGTAAAAAAAATAAAAAGTAGCAATAGTATTGAAAGTATTGATTAACAAAGTATAGAATAGCTATTATGGGGACAGTATGTACATTTATCGGGTGTGTTGGTACTAGAGGCGATTGTTTTAGTTGGACGGACCAAGTGGACAATGTGTGAGTGATGTAACAAAACTATTACCTGTAGCTGTCTCTTCAATTGTATCTTTTGCGCCATACAAACGGGCATTGCCTTTATCTGCATTATTTCCTCCCAAGTGCGTTCTTCATTTGATAAATTTTCAGATAAATCTGGCAGCATAGAAACAGCAGTATCAATATTCGGTGCATTTGTTGACATTCGTCTGGCGGTGCTTGTCGCACACCGGGACCGAGTGCTGGTGCGTCTTCTCATTGTTGTTTTCGGTTCGTTTCTTATCCGTTTAGCGGTCGCTTAAAAATAAATTTTATTATTCATTTTATTACTCCAATATTAAATTAAATTACATTAACAAGCAAACAAATAAATATAATTAAATAATTCTTACCAACGCGCGATTTTTTACTCGGCAACAGAGTCGCGATGTGCGAAGGATCACGTAGTGCTTGCTGTAAGTCATTCTCAATAGCAGCTGGATAACGTTCTTGATAAAATTCAGCCCCAGCTTCCTCCCAGCCTTGTCCTTTGTCACCGCCGCGCTTTTTTCTTTCGCCTCCCGACATTTTTAAATAATAATTTACAAGATTTTTACTTCAATTAATTAATTAAATTAATTCAGAAAGGTGTCTGTGTTTGAAATGAGCATCAGTTGTGAATAAACTTGTCAATAATTATTGGATTTATCAACCTTGATCGTTAATTTTTGAGTAAGCCCCGATAACATTTCGTTATCACTTACGTACTCAGAAATACTTGTCATTTTACAGCACACAATAGGACTCTTGAGATTAATTGTTACCGATAAACGTCATGAGCTAGCAGCTATTTTTCACAAATAATTTATTAACAACAATGAAAAAAAATGACACTGTGATGGCGGACGTCTGGTTGCCAAGTACTGCCTGGACACATACATTTCTCCAATTCTCCGTTACATTTTATCCATCCTACGCATTAATAATAATAAAATAAAACAGATTATCTTTAATATATTACATTTAACATTCATCCATCATAATAACATACACACTGGTTAAACAATATTGTTTATACATTAAATAATAAGTAAATACATACAATTAAACCGCCATTTGATGTACACGTACGTCACCACCAGAAACCAATGACACACCGAGTTTCGGAGCATCACCAACACCCAGACACACACACACACACACAGCACACAGCACATTCCTATACACACCAAACATTTACACACGCATACACACAGTCCAGCTGATTCAGCTTGCATGGAAACACCCCTTAGATTTACTATAAATCTCTGGTTGTCTATAACTCGGTTGTGTACAGTAAATAAATGAACAATTATATTTACTATTTACGGTAAAAATAATAATTAACAAGCAAACCAATAGCAATAATTATCAATAAGCCTTTTAGCAACACCAGTGAATTGAAAATTTTGTGAATAGAGATAAAATAGTGGACAAAACGCTGACTCCTTATGCGGAATATTGACACATCACTTTTTTTAGTAACTTAATTAATCAGGAGGATAAATAAATGAAAGCTTGATGAATTGACTGGTAAGTAATACAAGTTATTTATTTTTTTATTGAATTATTAGATTTTTTTTTGGAGCAGTTTATTCAAACCCGATAATTATTTTTAGGAGTAGATAATGTATATATGTTTATAAGCATAATATATATATATATATATATATATATATAGTATTTGTGTTTGTAGGTTACTTCTTCTATTGATATCGAGTACTCTTGACAGTTGTTTCATGGAGATTAATGATTTTTATTCATTTCCTGATCTAAAGTTGTCCTCTTTGTTAATTAGCTTTAGAAAATTGACTGTCGATAGTGAACAGAGCTGTTGAAATTGTTTTTACTCGCACGTTGGGCATAAGGTAACACACTTTTAGTATCATTAAATGCTACTGATAATTTATAATATTAATTATAGTAATTAATTAAGTTGCCGATGCTTGAGTAGACGGACGTTTGAATTTTTTGTTTACTCATTTTTGTTTGTAGTCTACAAACAGACGCTAGCTCGATTGCTGGTGATAAATATTAAGTACGCTAACGCTTATTTATTTAGGTAGTGTAATTATTTAGCGGTATTATTGCTTATTAGGTGCTCTGGATTTAAAAATATAGTGGTACACGACAAGTGTGCAAGATAACTCTTGTATCACTGTGATGTTTCCGTCAGGTTTTAGCTGCAATCTCTCATTCCCAAGCTGTCTCGGCTACCCACAAGATAGTGAGGAACTTATTCCCAAAATGGCTAGAGAACCAATTATTCTCAATGTTTACGACATGGTAAGCCTCCCTACTATAATTTTTTTTTTTTTTTTTAATTGATTTCAATAAATTCAATCTTTTATTTCATCAGTATTGGATGAATGAGTACACAACACCTATCGGCTTAGGAGTCTTCCATTCAGGTGTTGAAATTTATGGTGTTGGTATGTATTTTTGCTTTACAATTATTTTAAATAATAAATTTATGTTATTATTATAATTATTTATTATTAGAATATGCTTATGGTGGACACTCGCTCCCAATATCTGGTATCTTTGAAATAGCACCACGTGACGCTGATGAACTTGGAGAACAATTTAGATTTCGGTTTGTTTAATTTAATATTTTTTAATACTTAAATTTTTTTAATAATTAAATTTATTTTTATTAAAAAAAAAAAATCTAATTTTTATTTATTTATTTTAGACAATCTGTTCATATTGGCTACACCGATTTTACGGAAGAAGATGTAGCCAGAATTGTCGCTGAGCTTGGAAAAGATTTTCGTGGTGATCGCTATCACTTGATGAACAAAAATTGTAACCATTTCAGCGGACAGTTGACACAAGTATTTAATTATTTAATTATTAAATTATTTATTAATTTATTCGGTTGATAAGTTGGTCAATAATTAATAATTGACTATGAATTTTAGATTTTGTGCGGCCAAGAAATTCCTGGATGGGTGAACCGACTGGCATACTTCAGTTCATGTGTCCCATTCCTCCAGCGCTGTTTGCCAAAAGAGTGGCTCACCCCAGACGCTCTCACTCACTCTCTCAGCCACGTGAACCACCGCGACAGTACACAGCACTCGGAAACTTCATTGTAACATTTAGCTTCTGATGATGATAGCGAGTGTAACATTTTGAAATGTCGCAAGAGCCATACGTTTTAGATAATTGTAACTAAACACCAACAACTAAACACAATACAAGCTAAGTAGCGTATCTCCTGGACTAATTCGAGGTACACTGGCCATCATTGTAACGGACCTGACGTTCGGATAGCAAAGGTTTTTTTAACGAGTAAGCAAAGTAACGAAACTAAAATAATAATTAATAAAAAATAATGCCTTCCTTGCAACGTTGTATTTGTAAAATCAGCAGCGTAAACATAAGCGATAATTACTTGTTAAACAATCGAAGTTTAATAGTTGATTAACGAAATAATAATAATTTAAATGATAATGATAATGAATAAAAAACATGCCTACAAATCAAAGTGATTAGGAGACTGAGAAATGCAAACTTTTTTGGATAATATTGAGACAGAAAATTTATCTACACGGAGATATTTCGCTTCCTGGTTATGAATGAGTATAAATAATAATAATAGAAAATTACAATAAAATTTTTTCTTGTTTTTAATAAATAAATAAATTAAAATAATAAGTACATAATGTAGCTCATGCTTTAAGGTAAATTTGTATTAATAATAATAACCGATTAATTATTGTGAAGAAATAGCTTTCACAATAATTACTAGTGAATTAAAGGAATTCACGCGTCCAATACTTTAAAAACAAATATGTCAGTTGCGACTTAGAACGTTTCTGTGATGGGCATCCAAACGTCAGTAAGACACGAACTAACTTTACTTTTTTTTTTTTAATTAATTACATAACATTTTTTTGCACGATACTCTCTATTTATTTTTTAATTATATTTTTTTATTTCCGCAGGTATTTTTTCTATTTTTAAAATCTCAATGCATTTAACTTGAGTCTCAATCATTCAGTCCTGTTAATTAAAATTTCAATACGTTGATAATACAGCGATTGTATAGAAAAATATGAGATTAAATGATTATTCATATAAATAAATCGTTGTCTGGCGTACATATGATGTTACTTGTTACAGAGAAAAATAGAGAAAAAAATTTAGTAAAATTACTACCAAATAAGAAGTGATGAATGAAGATGAAGATTGCATGTTGTGTAGACATTTTTTAATATTAATACTAATAAATAATAATATTAATAATTATAATAATAATAAAACTAATTAATAGTAACAATCGCCATAAATTTTTAACTAGAATTTTTTTTTTTTTGAATTATTTTTTTTTTAAATGCATCTAGTACTGTCAATTATGTATTAATTTATACACTCGATGCAAAAGAAAAAAAACTACGTTGTTTATTTTTCACATATCTCAATTAATTGTACGCACATTATAATTATTAAACATTGATTAATTTTCAAAAATTTTCTCACTGTAGTTTGATACATATTAGTAATGTATCATTAATCATTATATATAAATGAATTAAGGAAGTTTTTAAATTACTTGAATAATAAATTTATACAATTATACATTTATAGAAAAGGATATAAATCAATTGTGTTTAATTGATTTAAAAAGTTAAATAAATCGATAATTGTAATTATTTAAAAAAACAAAAATTATATTAATAATTTACTTATCGATGAAATTAATATTAATTGTATAAATTAAGTATTAATGTTCATGACAGTAAAAACTTTCAGTGTAGTAATTAATCTGTAATCATTTGAGTTTTTAAAATATGGGAGTATGAAGACTGCCAGTATGTAATAAAATAAAACATTAAAAAATACCAAGGTCTATTTTTTTTTCTTGCCTATAAATAATATAAACAAAGAATATCAATTATCCGAATCGGCTCTAGATAATATTTCAACTAAATTATAAAGAATTCTTTAAATTATTCCGCTTGAAAATTACTTTAAGATAATAGATAATTGATTCGGATATGCGAGCTTCTACTGTAAGGATTATTTATGAATAAATTATATCACTACTATAGTGTTGGGTACTTATTACCTATCTAGTTATTCTATAAATAACGTCTTTTGATAATCAATGCATAGATTATTAAATAGACTTTTTTTTAAAGAAGCAAGCAACAAGATTTGATATAAAGTGCATTTGTAATAAACCTTCAATTAATGACTTTCATTATGATTAATAACTATTGTTATAACTTGATAATGAATGATATTAAATAATTTGTCATGAATTATGATCGATACTTACAACATATTTAAAATGTAAAGAACAAAAGATTTTTTCAAGGCAAAGTTATCAATTATATTTAAATATTTTAAAAATATTACATTATTTTAGTAGCACATATGGGGGGAGTATATATATTAATATATATTTAATATTATATATACCCCCCCCCCCTATATCTCCTACTAATATAATAAAACAATTGATGAAATTAATTGATTTTATTTTTTTTCAATATAAAAATTGACTTACAATTTGAAAAGCTGTAGAACTTGAATTTTAATCACCTTTAATGCTTTATAGATATCGCTATTGTAACCAATGAAATAGCTCTATAAATTCCGTGCTATTTTGATAAGACAACAGCTTTCTCTCACAATTTCGCAGATGACTTTTTTCTAAGTCCCTTAACTTTTCAGTTCGCGTACTTTACAGTTGTGCTTGGTCTAAAATCCTACTGATTTGTATGGCGGGCATACTAGTAAAGGTTTCCATGTCGAAATTTCAAATTTTATCCCAACTATTTTCGTTCAAATGCAAAATAATTTTTTTAAAGCCAAAAATAAAACCATTTGGAGGACAAAATTGTTTATAAATAATTTTGAAATCGGTCCCTGTTCGATGCGCTTCAAACTTAGCTTATTGCGTTCCAAAATAAAGCCTTTATTCTCTAGTTGAATAACTTAATAAATACATAAACAATGACATCCAGCGGTCAAGGTTGTGATGCCTTTAGCTTCATTAAAATTGAAATGAAGTCCAAATTTTTAGTGAAAAATAATCCTTATTGTCAGTGTACACGGTATATATTTGAGTGACAATTCATTTAATCCATTTGTTCCACAAACGAATGGAACTGTTTATCCACATGTTTTTAAGGTGGTCTCTATAGAACCATATTTCAATAATAGTGTGTATAAATGCAAATGATGTTTTTAATTTTTAAAATGAACAGAAGCACTCATTGCACCGTGAAAGCTTGACGAGTAAAACTGTATTTTTTAAGTAAGTACCCCTAACAAATTCTAAATACTGTGCCAATATTTTAATTAAGCTAATAGTAAAAAATTCTATACTTCTTAGTTATGTGTTACCTCCCAATTAATTGCAACTATTTATTTCAGGCTTAAAACAAACATGGCATCTTACAGTGGTAAGCAACCTGCCGGGATAAAACCGAATGATCCTTTCTATGCTATGTTTCCCAAAAATTGCATAAAGAAAACGATAGCAATCTGGCTCTTAAGGAATCTGTCAATTGCAGAACCCATAGAGGGTGAAAAACCTATGTCTATTTTGACGGTATGTCTTCTTTAGATACATAACTATCTTTAAACTTTTGAATCTGGCCTTTGCGTTTCTCATTCAAGTTAACAATCTTCTTTGCAGTATTTCATGTCTATGGATGAGGAAAATTTCTGGTCGGCGATAGACCACTGTCCCGACTGTACGGCCTACATTATTTTTGAAGCGCATATGCGGCGCTGGCAGAGGAAAGCTGTTCAATCAGCTAACGCGGCCGCCCAAGAAAATGATTTAGACATAGACATGTTATTTGAGTGTAATTTGGAGAACCAGCCAGAACTTTTTTGTAGCAGAAAACTGCTACGTCGTAAGTGTGTAATTAATTTGTTCGAAGATAATAAGGTCGTAAAGAATTAAATAAGTCAGTTGTATTACATCATATGCATTTAATTAAATTAATTACAATAAAGGAACATTTGTTTTATTTTTTTAAAACACTGTGCGCATTAAAAATATTCGAGCTATTATCTATGAAAAATCTAATTGTTTTGGCAAGTCATAGAGATCCTTAAGAGAGCAAAAAAGTGCTGACACTTATTTTTAAAAATTAAAAAAGATAATTAGTCACAATTTTAAACTTTAAAAATAAAAAAAAAAAATAATAATAAAACCTAACAAATATTTAAATAACAAAACAACCGTTTGCATGCATCGCAGCCGTAAAATGAGCTAACCTATAGATTAACTTACTATTTCTAAACGTAACCTGATATAGCCTTTGAGCTCAGCTCTTTCACGCACCATTCTTCCTTATCACTTATCACGACTTTTCAATTTCTAAGGTTCGCACTTGGCACCGGCCTTTCTCAGTATCTCCATTATTTGAATGTCATTTCGTTCTAAGGCAAATTGATAGACAGTCTGCCCGGCGAAGTTGGTAGCTTCCAAATTGATGCCTGGTGCCCTGCATAGCCATTCGGCGAGCTCGTAATTCCTTTCATAGACACACAAATGCAGAGGAGTGAAACCACCGAGCCCTTCCTTGCCGTTTATGTCAGCTCCAAGCTTCAAGACGATGTTCATCATCTCTTGTGCATAAATATCCTTGTTCCTCACGAGGATATGGGTGCATTGCTCACCATTGTAGTTTGTTCTAGTCAAGATCGATGAGATTGGTTGATCCATCCACTCTTCTGCTCTCATAAGAAGAGCTAATGAGCCAGCTTCACATGTTTCGTGGAAGTAGTTTCCACCCGAATAACTCCTGGCGCTCAGCATGTCAAGAAACTTGTTGGACTCTATCTTGATGACTTTTTCTTCAGTTGAGTACTTAGTGCCTACTTCGTGGAATTCAGTTGTGGGAATGATAGTTCCAGCGGGACAGAGCGATATTAATACCCGTTCCTAATCGGGAACCAGCCCATAAATAATACATTAAATCATTGGTAAAACCCAGTGCCCGTTTTCCCCACATTCTTTGTGTTATTTTTATCGGTAGTGTTTTGAGTATAAATGTGCGGATAACGACAATTTATAGTTTTTAAATTGGTTTCCCCGCTTATCTAAGGTTAAAAAAGTCAGGGAATTTTTTAAGGTCACCTAACTATGCGATTGACTTTTCAGTGTCGCCATGTACTTTTAATAAAATGTTTTTTTTTTTTTTTTTTTTAAATAGTACATTATATTAGTAGTCTCCATGGGAGGAGTATATATATATATATATATATATATATATATACTCCTCCCATATCTTCTACTAATATAATAAAACAATTAATAAAATTATAACATATATTTTTTAACTATTATTTTATCTAATCACTACCGTACTGATTTGTATGTCAGCCTTACAACAAGATATACACAAATCAAAACTAAAAACTATCTCTCAACTTTCTTTTCGAAAATCTCCAAACATTTTTTATTAACAGAAAATAATAAAATTTAGCGGAAAAAATTGTCTTTTAAACTGGCTTTGTGTTGCACTTATGCAGTTTCTATGACGCATTTTTGATCTCGTTCGATACCAATTAAGCATTCGAAAACGGTCCATGATGAAGAGAATAGAATCGGTCGAAAGCTCAGTTTACTACAATTACTATCAACGGTCTAGGCTATACAGCATTATTAGCGCCGATACTGAAATCCTAATGAACGCCCACTCTTTAGTGAAAAACAAACCTTACTGCGAGTACATACGGTATAAATTTGAGTGAGAGTCCATTTCAGCGGTGCGTCACACCGATTAATTAAAAAAATTGTTCGTTGATTTGCTCTGATGGCGGCCTGAAGTTTTATGTTAAATAAATTACATGTAAACATGCCAATGATGTTATATTTAAGTTAATGAAACAATAGAACAGAATTTTTCATTTCCTCGTGGAAATTCGACGAGTTACAAGGTTTTGAGTGGTAAGTCCTGTGTTTATGATTTATCGAAACAGGATAAACAATTGTTAGCCTCTTGGTTGTATGTTGCCTCCTAATTGTAGCTTACGGAAAAACAAACATGGCGTCTTACCATGATGAGCGACCTAACTGGATAAAACCAAATGATCCGTTCTTTGCTATGTATCCCAATAGTTGTGTAAATAGAACGGTCTGGCTTTTGAGGACCGTGCCAACTCAAACACCTACAATTGAAGGAAAACCCATTTCTATTTTAGAGGTATGTCTTCTGTAAAAACAAAGCTGTCTTTATATGTGACCGATGTATTCCTATCTTATTCAAGTTGACTATCTTCTTTGCAGTATTTCATGTCTATGGATGAGGAAAGCTTCTGGTTAGTGATAGACCGCTGTCCCGAATGTACGAGCAGCTATCCTCTTTTTTATGCTTATTACCGACGTTTGCATAGGAGAGACAGTCAATTACTCAACATGCTCAACCAAGAAAATTATTTAGGCATAGATTTGCTGTTCAAGCCTAGTTTAGAGCTCCAACCTAGAATCTCTGGTAAAAGAAGACTACTGCGTGGAAGGTGTATAGAAGGCTGTCCTTCTGAGACACGGACAAGCTTTAAAAGAAATAAGTTCATCAGTCTGAAAAATAAAATTCGTACTACGTTTTATGCATTTAATTATTAAATATATTACAATAGAAAAACATTTGTTTTATTTTTTAACAACAATATTCGAGCTAACATCTATGATAAATCTAATTATTTTAATGAGGTATGATGTTGCATTCAAGTACCATAAAAGGGCTTAGAACTACTTACACCTACTTTTAGATATTTAAAAATACAACTAATCTCAACTTTAAAATTTAACAAACAAAAAAAACAATAGTAAAATATTAAAACAAAACTAGCTACTTAGATTAACTTACGATTTCTAAACATAAAATATTGGTCACAATATTTGAACACTTAGCTCTTTCACACAGCTTTTTAAATCATTCAGAACATTTTCGCTTAGCACTTCTAACACTTCTTCTCACATTTGAAGGTTCGTACTTAGCTCCGGCTGCTTTCAGCATCTCCTTTAATATAACGTCGTTTTGTTCTTCGGCAAGTTGATAGACAGTCTGCCCGGCGTAGTTGGTAGCCTTCAGATTGATGTCTGGTCTCTTACACAGCCATTCGGCGAGCTCATAATACCTCTCCCAAACGCACAAGTGCAAAGGAGTGAAACCACTGAGCGATTCCTGGCCGTTTATATCCGCCCCTGATGAAGTTTCACGACGAAAAACATCATCTCTCGTGCATCATAATCTTTGTACTTCGCGATGAAATGAGTGCACTGTTCACCATTGTAGTTTCTTTCAGTCATCATCAATGAGTGAGCTTTGCATGCTTCGTGGAAGTAGTTTTCGCCCGAACAACTCTTGTTGCTCAACATTTGAAGAAACTTGTTGGATCCCATTTTTCTTATTGTCTTTAAATTAACCGAGTACTCAGTACCGACTACCGTTCAAGTTCGTTGCGCAATTGGCACTGCGAGCGGGGCGCAGCGATATCTATAAGTGTTACCAATTAGGGAGCTTGTTAATGAATACAATAGGTCATTCCAATCGCGATAAAATGTTATCTTTCAAGAAGAGTTATTGAGGGAGCTTGACATGCTTTACTTGTATAATTTAGTTAATTATCACAAACAGTTTTGATCTACTTAAAAAAAAACATAATTTTTCGCGGTAAATAGTTTATATTTAATATAAAATTTTACTATTTTTCCAGTTTTAATAACATGCAAAACTTTAATGAAAAATTGACAATGCTAATCATTGATGAATCGATAAAATCAATTAGTGCCCATACTGATGGCAGATAAATTTCATCATCTATCACATCACGGGCGGTCCTGAAACATGTAGCAACATCGTTTGTTCATTAAATCACCATCATAAATAGAAGTAATTTAATATTATTAATTACATTGGCAACAATTGTAGTTATTCCATATTTAGTTAATACATTTTATGAAATCACACTCGATTGTCGTCATTAATAGGTAACCAGGCGAAGCGGTATTAGTGACGCGGAAAATATTCCTGATATAAATTCGCGAGGTTTATTAAATTATTACATTTATTGGCTAACCATTTAAAAGGAAGGACGAGGCTCTCTACAAATTGTTCCTACAAATTAAACTATATTTTATAACGTGAAAATGGCGGCAAACAAAATGGCACATGAAGAGCTGAAATACGCAGAGTTTCTGGCGCTTATGTACCGCAGCGACTGCAAGGAAGTTATCGATGCAGAACATCAAAGAGTTATCAGTGAGAAAGTAGAAGGCACCTTTACAGCAGAAAAAAAAAACAAAAGTTTGAACAGGTTCGACCACGCCGTGTGTTTTGATCACTCGAGAGTGATTCTGCCGAAGGAGCGGAACAGGGGGAGCTACATAAACGCCAACTATGTTGACGGATTTGAGCACACAAAGAAGTTCATTTGCGGAGAAGCCCCGACTCGTAACACGTGCTACGATTTTTACAGAATGCTGTGGATGGAGCAAGTACAGATAATCGTGATGCTGACCCAAAAGAAAGAAAATGGAAAAGAAAAATGCTACCCGTACTGGAGTAACGTGGAACAAACTTCGTTTAGATTAGGCAAGTTTCAAATTACAACCATCAACGTTGAAAAGTTCCCTCATTATGTAAAATCGACCCTTGAGTTGACCGATGGGACTGGAGCAACGCAAACGGTGATACACTTTAATTTCACCGCTTGGCCAGACCACGACGTGCCCAAAAATACGTCAGAGTTTGTGAGCTTCGTCCTGGAGGTCAGACAATGCCAGAGGGAACTCTATGAAAACTCGCTCCAGAATGGCCATAAACGCCTCCAGCCGCCGCCAATTGTTGTGCACTGTAATGCCGGGCTGGGAAGGACTCCCTGCTATTGCGTGGTCGACATCAGCATTTCGAGGTTTCATCACAATCAAACTGTTTCAATTCCGTCTATAGTGTCCAGTATTCGGGAAAAAAGGTACCACAGCTTGTTCAATCCGTTCCAGTACTTTTTTTGCTACGAAGCAGTTAAGTTCTACTTGGATTTAGCCGACACAAAAGCTTTGATAAAGACAAGTCCGGTCCGACAAGTTGTTTCGTATTTTAAAAATTTAGTCAACTAAATTATTAGTAACCTTAATTAGGATTTAAGATAATGTCCTTGTTGTAAAATGATCTCTTTACTTCAAGTATTATTATGTTGTAATTTATATAACATGTGTGATATAAATAATGTCTGAGCCCTTATTAAACAAAATGATTTTACAATGTTAAATGCCCATAAGAGATATGATGTAAAATGATTTACATGATTTGATAGGATTAAAAATGATTAGAAAATTAATCATATCAAATCATTTTGTTTAATCAGGGAGACTTAGTAATAGTGTAAAAATAAATTCCAGTCATAGTTATAAGTTGTTTATTATTTATTAATTTATACATAGAGATTATATAACATATTTTTGATATAATGTACAAACTATTGTCCTAAAGGTGCTATAATAATAATTATCAATATTTAACTTGTGTGTTGGAATGGTACCAGTATTGGAATGGTACCAGAGTTATTGTTTCATTTCAATAAGGAAAAATTATAAATAGACTTTTACACTGCAAAGCAAAATCCACGCTACCTTTTATGGAACTAGGTTGATTATACAATGTTCCAAACAATATAAAAGGTACCTAAGTTGGGACTAAATAAAAGTTCACGTCAGAAGACTTATTTACGCATTTAATGTAGCAACCGTTATGTAAATCAGCGCTCTTATCACTTAATTAAAAATTTCCAAGAATTTTGTTACGAAGAAATGTTTGTGATCCTAGATACCTTATCACTGTGCACTTTGCAAGATATCTTCATATTTTTTGTCAAGTTAAGTAGACAAAACTACTGAGCTCACTTTTAGAATATTTTATTTTCACAGGCGCTTTGCGAATCTCATATGATTGAGTATGGGGCCGCAGCGCATTTTGTTAGTACTAATTTGATAGTTTTGATTAATTACTCTTCGCAGGCTTATTTATTCGATAGCGGGTCCTCATTTTCCTCATTACATATAAGTACACTATAAATTAAATCCTCTTGCGTATGACTAACAGGAAACTCGTTTTACCAGATGTCATAGGCTTTACCTACACATCCCGATATGTTGCTGGGTCACATTTAAAAATAAAATTTATTAGTCTTTGATTGACATCATCAAAGTACATGTATTCGCAATGATGACACATGCTAGCGGTACCCATCAACAGGCCCTAATAAGTATGCGAGCCTGAAATCCCTATCATGGCGGACGTAATTCCTGGTAGCTATTTCCTTATAAAGCTAAGTACACATTAATAATTATATCACTCTGTATGGAATTAGCTCCGAGTAAACATGTATTCGTACATTTCGCATATTTCCCAGGAGTTTAATTGTAAGGAACTCGTAAAATTTGTGAAACAAAGTGGCTTTGAGGAAATTGTCGCGGAAGAACACAAGGCAATTTTTTCCAAGCCGGCGGATGGAACGTTTCAAGAAACTCAGAAGTTCGTAAACATACGTCTGAACAGACTGAGGTACCCAAACTGTTTCAATCACTCCAGAGACAAACTCCGATGCACCTCACTAACTACGACCTGTGGCACACTGTCTGGATGAACCACTCACGAATCATCGTCATGCTTTGCGAGAAAACAGTTTTCAACCGCGAAACCTATGACGCATATTGGTTTCACATGAACGGAAGTCTCAAATGCGAAAAATTTGAAATTACAACCAAGAAAATAAAGGTTCAGTCAACGCACGTCTTAACAATCCTCGAAGTGACTGATGGAACTACTGCTAGTCAACAAGTGTTACATTTTGCGTTCACTATACGTGACCTGATATGGAGTTGCCGGCTAGTCCTGAGGACTTTATCAACTTTGTCTTAGCTGTGAGGCATAATCAGAAGGAAATCCAGGTGAGACTTACTCAAGAAGGCTGCAAGTATTGTAGTCCTCCAATTATTGTGCATTCTACAATGGGAGTAGAAAGATCTGCTGCTTTCTGTGCTATCGAGACTGAAATATCGCGTTATAATAAACTTGGGGTTATTTATTTCCTTAGCATCCACAGTGGCCCAAATTCGGGAACAAAGACACAATTCTCTCTCTCTAATTTTGATTATTACCTTTTCTGTTATAGAGTTTTAGCAAAGTATGTCAATTTATTTCGCTCGGCAAAGGATAATAATTTACAAAAACCCACAACTAGTCATGTTGTGTCTTTAATTAAAAATTTTTCTGTTTCAAAATTCTTTAATTTTAAAGATAATTAATAATAGAATTATTTTAAATCTTAACTTGAGTAATTGGAAAATCACATACGCTTTAATTTTAGTTATTTTATAAATTATATAATAAATTAAATCACATACATATTGTACACTTGTGTTATTTTATTGTCAAGGAAAACTATTTTAGAATTACTTATAGTACCTATTTTTCTTAGCACGCTTTGTTAAACAATACGTTCAAACAACACTTGTAAAATAATATTGAATAAAAATTTTAAATTAACTCACTTAATTGTTTCTTTAAATATTAACTACCCTAGTTTTAAGCCCTTCGATCAACTTGACAGATTTTTGGCTTCTTCTAGAATCACATATTTCAACACTAAGTAGCAAAACGCGTACTGTTCTGGAAGGAAAACACTAGAATGCCTTTGGCTCCTGATTTTGAGAACTATTTCACCAACTGAAACTTCCTTTTCCTTCTCAAGTTGTTCTAGCGAGTTGTTTATCGCACAAAAAGTTCCGGCCCAGCCGGTTCCGGTGGAACAATGGACCACAATAGGCCCCAGAGTCTGAGAATCGTTTTCAGCTTGCTTTATTAGTCTGGCCTGTTCTTCGTTGACTTTATTTCGTAGCTCCACAAACTCTTCCATGCCAGTGGGGATACTGTTGTCGGGCCAGTCAGTGAACCAAAAATTGGTAATCTCCCGCGAAGTTTCCGTAATCTTGTTAGTAATCATCACTCGGGTTTTAGTGAAACTTAACTCTTCTCTGACATCAAGGATTTTGGCGACGAAACTTCCGAAGGTCGTTTCAGATCCCTTGGGAGTCGTCCAAAGATAGAAGCTCTTCTCGTGATCTCTGTCTATGTCTGTCAGCGACACAATAACCTGCGATTCCTGTTCCCAAATCAGCTTGAAGAAAGACTCCCAGGTATCTTCTAACGGCGTTTGGGCGCAAATGTATTTATTGACTTCTTTGAATCCATCAACGTAGTTTGCGTGGATGTAATTCTCTGCGTTGTCTTCCGACGTTACCTCTTGTCGCGAAGGGTCCCAATCTCCCACGTCAAAAGAAGTTAAGCTTTCCCGCGCGTTTATAACCACTCGCGAATGGTCCCAGCACGGGATGTTGCTGAATCTATTCTTTTTCGAGTTTTCTTTTCTCAAAGACTGAGAAGTTGTACCTCTCAAAGGAATCTCCATCACTTCGGTGTGTTCTTGAAGGACGAGTCTGCAGAACTTCGGGTGATTTGTCATCTCTAGCAGCTCTGAGGCGCTCAGAGTTTTAAAGCACAAGTCTTTCATCTTAGAAATAGTGAATATTGATATAAAATTAAGCACCGACCGTTACGGCTGTTTAATTACGAATGAATATGTATCTATTTATCCTCTCGTATATAAAGGGCTTTCAATGTTTATGGTAATACCCTAATCCAATATTACCAGAAAGATCCAAGTAAACAATATGCAAAATTAGTGGAAAAACCATGATGTCGCCCCATTTTTACATCATAATTCTAATGAATTTGTTATGATTCTCATTGAGGACAATTGTTACTTTTCTATTACATGTAAATAATGACGTTAAGTTTGTTATTGTTTAATTAACCCCAGACTGGTCAACAAACGTGACCTAACGACTTTGGCCAAGTGATGAGGGATTTGCCGCAATGCTTTTAGAGCGTACAGTGTTGCCAGTTCATACACGTTTGACAGGCAGAGACTAGAAGTGTTTTCGGCAACGCCGCGGACAAAAAACTACTTACGACTCTGGTCAAGCTATATGAGGAAAGCCCCGCGAATTGCCACAAATTTTTTTTCAGCAATTTAAAGTTTTGAAAAATTATTAATATTATTCTAAAATGTTCAAGGAACAAAGTCAAATTTTTTTGAATAATTTTAGTAAATATATATATATATATATATATATATATATATTTTTTTTTTTTTTTTTTTGGAACTTACGCGTCAGCCTTCTGGCCTAGACACGTGGGACTTACATCCCTCCTTTTACTGGATTATTTACAGTACATTTACCTCCTCGGCTGTGGCCGACTTACAACCTGCACCCGCATTTGCCTGTGCCCCGCCCCTTAGCACAGTGACCAAGGAAACCACAGAAACCTGGCCAGGGTACAGTCGGCAAGGGAGCAAGCCTTGGAAATCGCAGAAAACTGCGACTGCCAGGGCTCGAACCCACGCCTGAGCGACTGTTGTACGGGCAGTTTAAGACTTAAACCGCTCGGCCACGCAGTCGCCTACTTTAGTAAATATTAAAGATGTAAAAAAAAAAAAAAAATTGAGCGCAAAAATTTTTGAGCATTTTTTTGGAATTTTTTAGTATAGACCAATAAAGACATGGAACTTTGAACTTTCTACCATTTTTTTATACATATTTCAAGAGTGTACAGTTAAATTTTGAGCTAAAAACATTCAGTAGAATTGAAGTTATAGTGGTCTAAAGACACCTACCTCGAAAAAAATTGACGCTCACTTTCTCCATGATATCAGCTGCTTAGCTTCCTCCTAAAAACTAAAATTAATATTACGTTTTATGTGTTTAATACTTTTATTAAATATATTACAATAAAAAAACGTTTGTTTTATTTTTTAACAACAATATTCGAGCTATCATCTATGATAAATCTAATTATTTTAATGAGACCTTCTTATTAACCCTTTAACGTTTTGGAGTCTCGAGAAATCTTAGTGTGAGCCTGGAAGGGGCAAAACCAATCATAATGCGTTATACGGCTGTGTGAGTAGCGGCTTGACTGTATAATGTGTCCGTGCGCCCCCTTCTACTATTTCTCAAGCCCCTTCTCTACAAAATAGACTATAGCTCTCTCACTTACAGAAGAAGACGGACGATTGAAATTGGGAGTAGAGATTCAAGGTCGACCGTTAAAGGGTTAATGAGACGTAATCTTTTAATCATTAAAATTATTTATTATAATGGTGTTACAAACTATCACAGTCACTCTAAACCAAAACTCAACCTTCTCACACGGCTTTTTAACGTATTTTTTTGGCTTACTGATTTTGACTTAGGCGAAAAACGTTTTATCTTAGCAATTCTATCACTTCTTCTCACATTCAAGGGTGGGATACCCTTGTATGGCAAGTTCCGTTGATAGGCAGTCTGCTCATCGTAGTTAGTAGCCTCTAGATTGATGTCTGGTCTCTCACACAGCCACTTGTCAAGCTCGTCATTCTCTTCCAAAATATCCGAGTCCGGAGGAGTGCAACCAATGAGTGATTCCAGGGCGTCTATGTGCGCCCCAATTTTCAAGACGATCCTCATCACCGCTAGTGCAAAATGATATTTGCACTTGGCGGTACCATGGGTGCATTGCTCAGCATTGTGGCCTCTTGCAGTCATCGGCAAAGGCATTGGTTGATCCATATATCTTGACTCCGTGCTTTCAAGATGAGTTAGTGGGGAAGCTTCATATTCTGGGCGGAGGAAGTTTTTGCCGAAAAAATCCTCATCGCTCAGCGTTCGAGGCCACTTTTGCGATTTAGTCCTCTCCATTATTGTCTTCAATTGGGAACTCAGTACCGAACTCGTTGAAATCTCTTTTGGAACTAACACTGTGAGCTGGATGGAACGATATTTATATGCGTTATCAATGGGGGGGGGGGGAGGGGGTTATTGATAAAGCACCTACGTCATTCCAATTCCCAGAAAAGGGTAGGTAAACCCAAAGTTTGTTTGTCCAATTCGTGGAATCGCTCTTATTCTAGGAAAAACCATTCCCTTATCTTTACAAAAAAACCCAAAAATCAGGGGTCAGACCACATGACCCCCTCAAACAATGACAAACTTTGTCATTATTTAGATAAGAATTTACCGAGCCTTTCCTTTTATGGACACCATTAACGGAATGAGCTGGCTCGTTGTGGTTTATTTAATTGATTAATTCATAATTATTATTCATTATTTCAAAAGCTTTAAAATATTTCCAAAATCACTATAAATTTTCAAAAATTTCGTTTATACTGTATAATTATATATACATATATATTTATATATATGTATATATATACTCCCCCTATGCTTACTAATATAAACTTTAAAAAAATAAAAAATATTGTATATCAATCTCGAAATTATTCTTTTTATCATCTTTTATCAGTAAAGTCTCGTTAATCTGAATAAAATTGGTCCCTACAAAACAAACTCTAAATTACGCAGTATTAATTTGAGAGTAAATGATTCAATCAGATCCAAACATTTACTTTAAATACACAGTAAAAATTCGGATGAATGAGATTCTTATTTAAAATTTTATTAAAGGTTTAAAAAAAAAAGACAAAATATATTTTATGATTATATTTTTCTCTGTGCTGCATATTAAATAATATATACTTAATAAAACAAAAAATGAAAATATGTATATATATAATTGTTGAAATGCGTTGTAACGCGACTATGTTAAAAAAAAGAATTATTTTATTCAATATTTGTGTCTATATCTAAAAAAATCTACAGTTACACAACGCCGTAACTAAATTACAATAATTCCATTACATGATTATCGCCATGATCACCATAATAATAATAATAATCATCTTCTTAGCAATAATTATTTATAATTGGTATCAATAAATACTTTGAACAATGCACAAGAGCCATAAATAAGTTTACTAAAAACTATATTTGCCTTTTTATCTCAAATGCTGTATTAATAAGACCAGATTATTAATTAATAATATTTTGCTTGGTTTTTAAGTAACCCAAGCAATCAATAATTAATATATATATATATTTATACCTATACTACTGCGTTAAGATGAACATTTTTCAATTAAAATTTATACTTTTCTTATAGTTTACTTTTATTGTTTCATTTAGGAATTTTATCCAATTACTTAAATCTAATTATTTTCTACAACACACTTTTTTAATTTCGTTTAAATTATTATGCATCTTCAACTTTTTTTTTGTATTTTTTTTTTTTTACAATCAAGACTGAATTGAAATTATTTAAAAGTAATTAGGCTATTGTGAAAATTTAAAGTACAACTTAATTAAAAATTTCTCTTGTAAATTGCTAGTAGAGTTATTTACAAAATTACAAACAAGGTTTGGTTTTTTATTTTTTTTTTTAATTATTATCATTTCGTTTAATTTCAATAAATGTTCAATGCTTGGAGAATCTTTAACGTGATATATTGAATTTTATTAAAACTTGTTATGTTTTAAATATGGTCATGGACAATTGTCCGCAATCAGTCTGACATTGTTGTAAAATTTATTAATATATATTTATTATTAATATTATTATTATTATTATCATTTCAATTGTATAAACAAGAACAGTTCAATATTAATTATTACAGTTATTAATTGAGTCATTTGTTACGGTTATACAATTATCGACGCCTAAACATTGAACGTAATTATTTGTATTTAAAAAATTTTATTTCTATGGAAGCCACAATTTTTATTATGATATTTATTCTTCCATTTTGGGTTTTATTTTATAAATATTAATTATTATTATTATTATTATTATTATATAACTAATACCAATGGACATTTTTATAATTGATCGTTTAATTAGTTTTTCTACTTCAATCGAACCGAGATAACTACCAGTATAAAAAACATAAAAAATCGTGTATCTTAATCAATTGACACCACACTTTATCACTAGTATTAATCTCTAGCAATAATTTATATTTTTAATTTATTAATAATTAGTTAAGTGAGCGTAAGAGATTATTCATTAGAGAGTCTATACAACTACAGTTAGATAACCGTGGACAAAAAATCGAGGAGGTTTAAAAATATCCATTTGGTTAATTTCTGACCAGAAATTACATAAATAATTTCTGAACAAAAATTACATTTCAATAAACTAAATATATTATTATTTATTTATATGATTACACACACGTATTTATTAATACACATAAAATCATATTCGGTTATTTAGTTCTAGTTGTATTGACTGAAAAATTTTTAAAAATTGTGGAATTTAACGAAGATTGCGGTGCAAAAATCAAAATAAAAAATTAAGCCAACGTTTTTTAAAAATATGTTTGTACACAAATTTAAGAAAAAAATAAAAACTAGCATTGCAAAATTATTTTCGATGGGACTTGTTAACTTTTTTTTTTAATATTATATTTTATTATAAATATAATATATGAATATATTGACATTGCATTTGATCGCATCGAGTCACTTATCTTGAACGTCCTATTCTCTATAATTATTAATGAAAATTGCAACAAATTATTATGCTTAGTCTAATAAATGTTCACACTGGGCCTTTTTATTTAGTTTCTTGATGCCTGAATCTGCATTACGACGTAATATAAAATTTTTTTTTAATCATTTTTCTTTATTTTTTTTTTTTTTTTTTTCATTCTCTAATGTTAAGGCATTTATAATAATTTTAATTTTATAAATCGTAATATTTATCCGATTAAATAATTAAATGTGAACTCATTTGTTACCTAGTTAATTTTTTTTTTTTTTTTTTTGTTGAATAAATATAAAAATTATTAGACGAGAATCGACTAAAAGTTTATTGCTACATAATTTGACTGGTGTTTACTTCAATAAATTTATTTATTAAATAAATCATGATTATGTAAAAAAATTCCTCGACTACTAATAGATTAATTAATATAATACGCGACACACAATATATAATTTTAAGATGTATAATATATAATATAAAATTTAAAATAAAATAAAATTATAAAATAATTTGTAAATAAAATTCATGTTATAAAAAAAAGCTAGTTTTAGTTTTTTAGAATATTTAAAGACATTTTTCACTATGTACAATTAAAATTTGATAAAATTACCGAAAAAAAATTTCAAAAAAAAAAAAATAACTAAAATATATATATATATATATTTTTAAAAATGCTATGTCATGACGAAATGTATTTTGGTTATTATTTGTTCATTAATTAATAATGATAATATATACTTAATAAGTATCCGAATACGCGCAAATAAAAAATTTAATATTATTAAAAAATAAAATAATAAATAAAGCTGTTTTTTTTTTTTTTTTATCGCAAAACAGCTGATTGCATAAACAAATACTAACATAATAAAAAAAAATTTGTTAGCTCGTTAATAATAATTATAAACTGAAAATTAGCATATGTTATTTGGCAATTAATTGATTCTTTCAAATAATGTTAATATTTATCTATAATAAATTTCCAGTAATACTATGGCAACTTAGAAGGACTTAGCCTCTCAAGTTGTCTTAAAAGATACTTAATCAATATAAATATTAAGTAAAAATTTGCACCCTCACATTAATAAAATATCTTGTGACAACTCTCGCGTTTTTAAAAGTTGCTCAGATTTTTATACGCAAGGAACGTCGTAAGTAGCCGGCCGTAATTTTTATTATTTATTTTCAGATAATTAAGAGTCGTAAGATGACGATCCATGGTCGTGAGCAGGACTAGGCGGCGTTGAAGGATTTGAACTGTTGTTCGACGCAATCGAGTGACGAGGACTTCCACCCGTAGCATGATCCTAAGGTAAATATTTTTTTATTTAATTTTTATACAAAAAAGAAAATGCAAATTTTTTTAAATTAAAAAAAAATACTAACTTTGTCTTGTAAAGACGCGATACTTCCAAGAGACAATGGAGTATGCGAACGCATATGAAGCGATTCGGACTCTGTTTGGTCGACAGGCGTTCGGGGTAATGACGGTGGAGTCGCTGTTGGTCTTGGAGGCGCTGGTCCTCGTCTTGAAGATGTTGATCCTTAAAAATCATTTTTTTTTTTTTATTAAATAAAAATTTATTTTTATTAAAAAAATAAAATAATAATAAATATTTACCATTATGCGGAGAATATCCGGAATTTCTTGACATATGAGAGCTGAGTCGACGAGTATCAGAGGGTGGATGTCTAGGTGGTAGCGGGGCTGGTTTGCTGGGTGGTTGAACGGGCCCGTAAAATCGTTGCTGCGGGTTCTGGTGCAAATGAGAGGCGCTGTGGTGGCTGGAGTACTGCTGCTGGTCAGCGGTTTCGAGGGTTGTCGGGAGATCTAGCAATCGTTGAATTTGTATCCCGTTGCCAGGACCCATGTGACTAATGTGGTTGAAATTCGTCGGAGCTGATATCATTTTCGAGCGTCGATCGGTCGGTCGCACGCCACGGTTTCCTTCTCGCAGTGAAAATCGTCTTCGTGGCCTGGTTATTTGTCTTCCACTTCCGTCTACAGGTATTAAATTTAGTAATTCTCCTAAAAAAAATAATAAATAAATATCTACTCTGTTGATGCCAATAATAATAATAATAATAATAATAATAATAATAATAATAATAAATAAATAAAATTTACTTTGGTGTAAATTACTCAGGTGAATGACATAGGGCATATCGTTGATCAAAGAAGTTGTAAGAGAACCTGAAATATTTAATGGACGTGCTCGTTTTACATTGAGCGTTTGTAACCAATCGCCTGTTGTGCAGTCAAATACATCCACGTGAGTTTCGCTGTAGATTAATAAATATCCTTCGCAATAACCTACAGACAAATTAATTATTGTAATAATTATTGAAATAATATTATTGTAAAGAAAAAAATGAAATACTGACTGACTGCCGTTGGAACAGCGGGATACATTATCTCACGATCTCTGCTCTTTCTTCCTTGACTGTCAACATAAACAGCTAGAGTTTGAAAGACCAATAAAAATTCACCGCGTGGTAATTCTATACAACGCATTGCATCGACTGCACTGTAAGTTAAAAATCCGAGCAAAGTATTCTCTGGATGGACCAATGCTAAAAAAATTATGATTATTAGTGATAGAAAGAGGAATAAATTTTAATGGAATAAAAAAGAAGCTTACAAATAGGATGATGGTCTCCTAAAATACTATAAATAGAAAATCCTGAAGGATAACCAACGCAAAGACGGCCTTCTGACAGTACTTGTAAAGTTTGTGCATGACAAGGCAGCATTAATTCGTGAATTCGTTTATGTCGAGTTTTCGTACGTGTTACTTCGTAAATCATAACATGTGAAGCGTTCTATAAAAAATTAAATCAATATTTATCTTGAACAGTGAGGTGTAATATAAAATTGAGATTGAGATAACAAACCTGTTTCTTAATAGCGACGCATAAACAATAAGTAAGGGGATTACGTCTCACCAGACCGGTAGTTAAGGTAATACATCCCTTGGTTTCGGCGACTTTAATCCATTCAACTTCATCACCGTCTAACGCACGTACTGGGACTAATCTTACGTGACGTTGCTTCCCACTAAGCACCACGATTAATTGTTCCTCGGTAATGTACTCGAGTAAATATATTTTCTTTCCCTCGCCAACTTTAGCGACCTCGCTACGATCTAAGTCTAAACAGAATAGGCCCTCCTCGGTACCAATGACTAGACGATCAGGATCTATTATCGCTCCTGACATCACGTTTTTAACAACCGCCAATGTGTTGTCCAACAATTCTTTCGCACGGAAGACCTACAACAGTTAATTCATTTATTTATTAAAATAATAATTTAATTTATTATTAATAAATTTCATACCGTTGTATTTGGAAGATTATTTTTCTTTAAAATTCGATGAAGCTCACCCAACGCAACGACCCACTTTGTTTTTTCGCTCTCGGTATCAGCGAGCATCAGCGTGTGGTTCCTTAGTCCAGGTGGTTCCAATAAAGACGTAGTAATCTGTAATATTATTGTAATTATTAATTTATTTTCCTTTACTGAAGAAGCCAAATTTCAGATAAGACAAGTTACCCTAAATATGCATGGAATGTCTTTTTTAGTCGCGTGAATGACATCTGATTCACGAACAGAACTGACGCCAAACTCGGAGTCTCGCATATCCAGTACTTGAGACACGTAGACAGACGGCAAAGCATTCCTGTCGGGCGATATATCATACAGGAACAATTTAAAGTCACACACCACCACAAATTGACGGATCCACCCCTTCTTGACACCACCCATTTTAGGGACTTTGACGTAGCCTTCGTAAGCGGTGCCAATACCGCGGGTCGGATCTATTCCCAGCGGTCTTTTGGCTGTAAAAAAAAAAAAAAAAAAAAAAATTAGTTAATTTATGTAAAAAAAAATTAAAAAATTAATTAATTTATGTACAAAAAAAAATTGATTGAATAATAAATGGGTTTAATTAATTAAACCTCGTACTTTTATCATGTGGAACAGGACACATTGCTGGTACTTTATCACAACAAGGCATGTGACAAGCAAAACCACATACTTCACAAACTACTCCCTGTCTGGTTAAGCCCACCATAAGCGATGTACAGTGATTACATTTAGTAGGGGCTGAAAATGTTCGTACTAAAAATTGATGTGATTTTGGTTTTGGTTGTAAGGCTGCTTGGCTATGAGCTGACGATTTATTTAGTAGTTCGTGAGACAACGGTGATGTTGGATCCTTTTTTAATTAAAAATAATTATTATTGTTAACATAAATTGTTTTTTTTTAATAATAATAATAATAATAATATTAAAAAGAACTTACTATACTCAGTTCAGAGAGATTACTTTTACTACTCGTAAGACTAGGAGCCCTGTTATCTTCAATATCACCCTCAACACTATCCACACTTCCGTGACGTGTACTGCCAGCTGTTTCCTTGAGAAAGTGTTCCAGGTACGACATTTGGGATGTAGGACGTTCCAAGACTGTAAAAAAAAATTATTAAGTAAAACATAACGATTAATTAATTAATAATTAAAAAGTTTAGTTAAATAAGGTGAATTGCAAGCCATAATTTATTATTAAACTACGGTAATTAAGTAGCTGGCTCGTGATAACGCAAAAAAAATAATAAAAAACCTAGCAATCACCTCAAACTATTAAAAAAATAAAATCTTAAGCAGTTTAATCCACACGAGTAACAACCACCTGTGGTAGGGTAACTAATGCCTTCTGAAAACAACCGCTCTAAATATAAAAGCAATAATTACACGATAAAGCATCTCTCTTTTAATTTATTTATTTTACAATAAATATATATCTTTTTTTTTTTTTTTTTTTTATAGTTGGTGAACTAAACCACAATGTAGTATTATCTCTCCTGCATTTGGAGCATGCAAATTTGCATAAATTAACAAAATCAATTGGCCTCTAGAGAGTAGTTATTTATTCTAGGGGAAGCGTGCCTGATTTGATTTTTTTTTTTTTATTTTTTATCCAAACTTCGTACTTGTACTTGCGAAATACGAAACTCGGGATGTTTAATTGGTAAGTAAGTAAATTTAATGTTGGGTGGTGTTTTTAAGATTTAAAATAACACTTAGAGGGATTAACAAATGTCACTGGTAACAAGATCGGGTTTTTATCGTCTATAAACATAGCGTGTGCCGTGTTAACAGCGATAAATGTTTATTAATTTATTAATTAACAACAAAAAGAATGAAAAGGTAACAATAATGGCTGAGCGGATGATTTATTATTAAATATTATTATTATTAATTGATTTAATTTATGATATCAATCACTCCGATAGGATAAAATTTACCAGGCGACGATACGATGGCGACAGCATTGCGATTGATGATTGAGTTGACCGTAGCAAATCTAGTTAATAAGCGACATGTTGTGATGCGGGGAGAACGTATTACTGGTAAGGGTGATGACGGCTGGTGTACGATGATTCGTTGGGGTTTTGTTCTGATGATGTGCTTGTTTGCTGAAGTTGAAGTAGAAGATGAAGATGTTGTTGTACTGGTTGTTGTAATTGTCGTTGGAGAGCTAGACGTAGACGTAGACGCAGACTTGGTGGACGGAGACGGAGACAATTTGCTTGACGGTACAGTGGTTGAGAGGAGAACAGCTGTCACAAATACAGTTTGATGATGAGCAACAAGAGGCCCCACACGCAGCTCGTTGCGCCAATAAACAGGGGCACTTTGTAGTCTAGAAATCAGAATTTCATACCGTGCCGAACATCGGGTTATACTTTAATGCTGGACAGCAGTTCCAGTATCAATCGTGTTTGTTTATTTTATTTTTTTCCACATTTTTAATACTTTTTTTTTTTGCCCCTGTGAGCGTACTCGCCGAATGGTTTATTACTTATTCAAATTTAAATGATGATGTCAAAAATTTACTCGCTGTTTATTTTTATTTTTTTTTTATACGTCTTCCACTTTTTCTAGCTATTAAGTAATTAAGAAGCTCTTACTGCTTCGTTAATTAATGGCATTTTGTTTTAAATGGTATATATCATATAATTTTAGTTTGTTACCTGAATGAGTCACGAGTTAACGACTAATTAAATAAAAAAATATCGTATGTTTACTGTACTACACATGCACTAGTATCGAGCTACACACTACATACTACATACTAAAATAAGTTAGTGATGGTTTAACTACCGTGTAAGATCATAATGATAAGTGTCGACTACAGACTAAACTACCATGCGAATACAATTTATACTGAAGAGTTGTGCTTTTAATTAATGTTATTAACTGATGCCCAGTTATCTGTCCTATTATTAGGGATAAAATGTGTAATTGTAAATGTGTTACTGAACAGAATTTTAATTAGTTTTTTTTTTTTTTTGTTTCTATCTTCTAATGAACCAACGGGATAAATTTAAGTGGCTCCACAGAACATAGACAGCGTGGGTCGCTGCCGTTTGTGCTATAAATGCAAATATATAATGTTCTATTGAACTTTTTGGAGACTTTGAGGTAGTGTGATTTTTGACGGAAGTAAAAGTACTATTGGTATTGTACTTACAACCATCATTCGTCTCAACACGTGATTGAAGCTCCTTGATTTGCATTTCTTTGCGCTTTACTTCGTGTGACATTGAATCCATTCGTTGTCTAAAGTCTCGTAATTCCCTAGAAAAATTTTAATTATAAATTTTTAATAATTACTAGCAACCTTGCTTTTTTAAATAAAATAAAATAAAATTTTGCTTTGTTAAATAATAACTTTTGTTAAATTGCATTGTACTTTCTTAACTAATGATATTTTTAACGATATAAGCTCACTCCGACATTATACTTATCAAGACCTTTCATTTGAGTACCCACATCAATTTTTCATATATTTTGTATATTTATATATATCATATATATGTATGTATATATGAAAAATGCATGTGGGTACTCAAATGAAAGCTTTTGATGAGTGTAACATCGAAATGAGCTTATATCTTTTAAAATATCATTAGTTGACAAGATACAATATCATTCCTTAACTATTGATTTTTTTAAAGATATAAGCTCATCTTAATGTTACATTCATCAAGAGCTTTCATTTGAGTACCCACATACATTTTTATATATTTTTCATATATACATATATTTAATATATATA